ATGGTGTGACACTGGAGATGGTGTGACACTGGTGGTGGTGTGATAAAAACATCCAGAACAAAGGACACTACCCGACCATTATCCATGTATCTGATTAAATCTTATCGTAGCAAAGCAACAATCCACATTAGCTCCGGACCTCTCTCTGGCCTATAGGTGGGCCTTCCCAGTGAGACGTGTACTGTATCTTTAGGACGTTAGAATACAGCTCACTCAGTGGGACATGCTCGACTCTATAACCCAATGATTCAGCATGGTTCTCTCTGAGCTTATACATTACTTTTTTTTTAATTTTCATATTATAATCTCCGAGTAAAACACTGGAGTACTGCAATAGCTTTCCCACGCCCACGAGATGTGTGTGTGTGTGTGTGTGTGAGTAGGTAGTGTAATGAGTGATTATCAGACCATAGCTTTCAGCCCAGAGAATTACAACACATATAACAGCGAGTACACTACAGGCCTCGTGGTACCCCAACATACCAAGTTGACACACCCTAGGTCAGGACCCAAGGGACCTGACCTCGTCTGACTTGAGTTAGTAGATGACTTGACCTACAACCACACCTGCCCAAGAAAAACCCGGGCATGACCACACACAGCTGTCCAGATCTAACCAGTTTAGTGTTAATTGGCAAAGGTCAAACGCCGGCTGTTTGGCCCCCATATAAAGGCCCTGCAGTTCTGCCCACGAGGTCATTCGTCATTGGATTCAAATTCTCAATACACTCTGGTTCGACTCATCTCTCTCCCGTTCGGGTCGTCAGTCTGTTCACTCACACAGAGTCACACTCGTCCTACCCCCTGGTCGGGAGGGAGACTTCCCGACCAGACCCCGGCGTCACCAGCTAAGCAGAGTCTCCCATAGGAGGCAGCCCAGCATGCACACGCTGGGCCCCCGTCAGGTGACACGTGAGTCATTGTCAGAGCTATCTCTAGAATGAGTTACCTACTGTGGGAAGTGTATTCATTTCATGCTTGTGTCCGAGAGTCAGTGTCGAGTAACGTAAATATAATGTGCTAGTAACCCCGATGTAATATTGATATTGCTGTGTCCATGTCATTGAGTGAATTAATAAATAGTTGTATCGAAGTGGTGTTTACAAGATGTCTTGTAAGAAGGTAATATATGTGTATTGACGTATAAGATAAAATTAGTGTAGTGACATTGTAAATAACTAACCGGCCACGCTACCAAACTTCCTCTCTTTACATTCCTCTTACTAATAAATATTCTCTCTATACTTTCTACACTTAAAATCTCTCATTACAGTAGAGGGCATAAATAAACAGATGAGTAAGTGCTAAGAACATATGGTAATCACCCGGTAACTATCACCACAGTCGACACTAAATGCTGGAGATGATGAAATATTTATATAAAAGACGAAGTAACAGGGAGGACATAAGAAGAGCTGGTCACTGATCCATAAATAATACAGGGAATACGTGTTGCACTTTAAGACGAGATTTTATTATCATATACTTCAAAATTTTTATTATGGAACATCTGGAGATTAGACACCCCAATATATTTCACCCTAACCTAACATAACATAACCTCCGTATTCACAAATGAAAACCTAGCACAGTTTCCAGAAGTTCATAAGGTATATAACGACAGTATAGAAAATATGTTGATGAATATCAATATTACTAGTAACGATGTGCTTAAAGTAATTAACAAACTGAAGCCTCATAAATCGCCTGGTCCAGACGAGGTATATGCTAGAATATTAAAAGAATGTAGAGATGAGTTGAGTAATCCATTAGCAGTTTTATTTAATAAGTCATTAGAATCGGGCCTAGTGCCAGAAGCTTGGAAACTTGCAAATGTAGTTCCGATTTTCAAAAAAGGTGATAAATCAATTGCATCAAATTACCGTCCCATTAGTCTCACGTCAATCATAGGCAAGTTGCTAGAGTCAATTATTGCTACAAAAATCAGAAGCCACCTTGAAACATTCAACTTAATTCATTCTTCTCAGCACGGGTTCACCCTGGGACGTTCTTGTCTCACAAATTTGCTTAGCTTTTTCTCAGAAGTATATGAAGCGGTAGATAATGATAAGTCATATGATATATTTTATTTAGATTTCAGTAAAGCATTCGATAGAGTCCCTCATGAGAGATTGATAAGGAAGGTAGAAGCACATGGAATAGGTGGATCATTATTAAAATGGATTTGGTCATGGTTAACCGGAAGGAAACAAAGAGTCAGCATAAATGGATTAAAGTCAGACTGGGGTGCGGTCAAAAGCGGAGTTCCCCAGGGATCTGTATTAGGCCCTCTGCTGTTTGTTATATTCATTAATGATCTTGATTTAGGCATAACTAGTAGGATTAGTAAATTTGCAGATGATACCAAAATGGGGAGAGTGATAAATTCAGACAGTGACTTTGAACACCTTCAAAGAGATCTAGATACCTTACATGAGTGGTCAGTAGACTGGCAAATGAATTTTAATACTGATAAATGCAAGGTACTACAGATAGGGAAGACGAATACAAACGTTAAGTATAAACTAGGTAACACGGAAATAGAAAACTCAGATTGTGAAAAAGATCTAGGTGTATTTGTTAGCAACGACTTGAAACCTAGAAAACAATGTATTAGCGTTCGCAACAAGGCAAACAGGATTCTTGGGTTCATATCTAGGAGTGTGAGTAACAGAACTGCTGACGTTATCTTGAAACTTTACCTAGCATTAGTGAGGCCACACATGGATTATGCGGTTCAATTCTGGTGTCCTTATTATAGAATGGACATAGATTCTTTGGAGAGAGTACAAAGAAGAATGACAAAAATGATCCATAATATTAGAAACCTTCCATATGAAGAAAGACTGAAAAGCTTAGGCTTGCATTCATTAGAGAGGCGTAGAGTTAGGGGAGATATGATAGAGGTGTTCAAGTGGGTAAGTGGGATTAACAAGGGTAAAATGGAAGATGTTCTGAAGCTCAGTAATAACGAAATAACTAGAACAAATGGCTTTAAATTAGATAAATTCCGATTCAGAAAGGATATAGGCAAGCACTGGTTTGGTAATAGAGTTGTGGATATGTGGAATAGGCTACCGAGTGCTATAGTAGGATCGGGGACGCTGGGGAGCTTCAAGACGAAGTTGGATAGGCACATGGAAGTGCTGGGATGGGTGTGAAAGGGATCTGCCCTGTATGGGCCAGTCGGCCTCCTGCAGTATCCCACTTTCTTATGTTCTTATGTTCTTACCTTACCTAACTCAACCCATATCACTTATATAACTGCCCAACTTATATTTGAAGCTTTCCTGTGATTTCGATTTAATGACGGTGTTTGTTAATTAGTTCCAATCATCTAATGTTTACCTACTTCCCGCCTAAATCTGAATTTATCAAATATAAAACCATTGCTGTATGTTTGCTCTTGATTTAAATTTTGATAGTTTAAGTACCTTAGTTATATCGCCTTTGTTCATCCCCATCTTCCTTTTATATATATATTAGTCATATCGCCCCTTACTCTACGTCTCCCAAGAGAATATAAATTCTGTCTTCTTAAATGTCTCAATACTCAAAACGCTCTAGTTGTCCGGGATTAACTTTGTCATCCTTCTCTGAATGCTTTCTCAGGGATCAATGTTCATTCTATAGTAGGCTATACGGTGACCGAACTGAATAGCGAGATATATATCAATGATAAAATCGATTCTGCTGTTACTAACGCTCCTAGATATAAACTCGAGTACTTTGTCAGCTTTATTTCGTAGACATAAGTGCATGGTTGTTTAGGTTTTAGGTCCTCATTTATCATTACCACCTCAATCTTTCTCACAGTCTATGTTGTTCAGCTGATAGTTTGTTTCCATGTGTTCGTTCCCTAGCCTAAGAAAAAATTTTTTTTTCCATAAATTGGCATCTTCCATTTTTTCGTCCATACCAAATGTTTATTTAGTTCTTCCTGTAATTAATCTGAGTCCTCACCGGATTTACTTATTCGCCCTATTTTTGTGTCGTCAGTAAATTTGCTTATGTTGCTGTCAACGCCTATATGTCGGCGTAATTAATGTTTATAAAATATAATAACGGTCCAAGTACTGAGCCTTGGGGTACGCTACACGTGACGTTAACCCAGTCGGATTTTATACCATCTATACTGACGAGTGTTGGCTACCAATTAACCACGCCTAAATCCAATTTTGAATTTCTCGTCCAATACCATGTGCCTCCATTTTCCTTAATAGTCTTTCATAAAGAACATTATCAAAGGTTGAGCTAAAGTCGAGGTATACCACATCACCGTCGTCCCTCGTCCACAGATTCGAAAACGCTTTAGTCTGTTAGTCTGGGTATCATGTCAGGCCACCCTCTGTATCTGTGGTGACTTCTGGTGGAGACATGTTAACTATACACCTAATCCTGGCCAAACACTGCCCCTCAAGGTACATACCCTGTAGTCTGTCTGCTCTACAAAATAAGGAGTTTCAATTAACTTTACACCTTGAGTGATTTCCCATGCTATTTCAAATCTTATCTCATTATGGCCGTTGTTACTACTGACATTAAAATTCGTATGACGATAAGATATTTTAGATGGTAAAGAAATATCAGACCAGAGCAGGAGAATGTTTGCAATAAATTTCTTCTTTCGCCCTCTTCCCTTATTCTGCGTCCTTCTCTTCCTCCCTATTTTCTTCATATAATTATTTTACCTTCCCTTCCTACCTCCTTCCTTCATACTTTCTCAATTTCCCTCCTCCCTTTTTCTCACTGCCCTCTGCACTATCTTCCCTCCTCTTTTTATTTCATAGACCCACCTTCCCTTCACCCTCTTCTTTGCATCCTACATTCTATTCCTCTCATTTTTTCATCATTATATTATCCTCTTACCCTTCTCTCCATCACGTCCTCCTTTCCGCCACCGCGTCCTGTGTTCTGTTCCTCTCATTTATTGCCCCCCTCTCTCACCCGCTTACGTAATTTTATCATATTCTCTCTTTCTCTCTCCTTTTCTCCCCCAGGCGAGGAATGAACAATATCCTGGTGCTGTTCATAGCAGTTTCGGCGACTGTCAGCGTCTTCAGTATCATCGATAACCTCAGGATGAAGCACACGAAGCAGGAATACCTGTTTGAGAGACAACAGATTCACCACCCCCAGCAGCCCCAGCAGCATCAGAAGGAGGACTATCAGCCTCAGCAGTACCAGGAGGATAGGCATGCCAAGCATCAGCAGCGATACGAACAGCGGCAGCGATACGAACAGCGGCAGCGATACGAACAGCGGCAGCAATTCGAACAACCTCAGCGACCACAACTGCCGCAGGACGACCAAGACCCAATTCTCCGTCTCCTGAAGGAGTTTCATAAGCTGGAAGGTACCTTACTTTCCTAAGCTGGACAGGACTATACTTTCCTAAGCTGCAAGGTACAGTACTTTCCTAAGCTGCAAGGTACAGTACTTTCCTAAGCTGCAAGGTACAGTACTTTCCTAAGCTGGAAGGTACAGTATTTTGACACTTGTGTTAGTGCCGTTTCCTGTGTGTCGAGGCGATGTTAACGACATAAAATATGAGACTCCAGAATTATCTTTTTCAAGGATTTTTTTTAGCGCAATATAGGAAAAATAGTTATTTTCTAAGAATACAAAATAACCCAAAGGCTACTAAGATTATTTCAGAAAAAATATAGGACTATAATAGATTTTTTCATGAATTTCCTGACAAAATGTAAAATTGTTTCAAGAAAATGTAGACAAATTAGAAAATTTTTAAAGGGGTATGAAAGGAAAATATAAGATATTTTCATAAGGAGAAAAAAAAAAGAATGATTTTAAGAATTAAAGGCGTTTGGGAAATTACAAGACTTTTTCTCACCTTTATTTTTTTAAGTCAAGGGTAGAAATTTTATTAATTAAATACATAAACGTCTTACAAAGCTCTTGAAAATTGTAATCAATTTTAAGCTGGGTTGTGGAGGCCGAGTGAATACAACGATCACCATCTCTCAAAAGGATCGCTGGTTTGATCCCGGTACCTAACTTTACAATTGAGGAAGCGACGTTGGTCGAGTGCAATGGCCATGCTGCTTCTTTGTGAACTGAAGGCTTAGTATATATATAGTGTTGTATCCACGCCGTCCCTAACGAGCAGTCATGACTATGGGACCCATTTTTACATTCAAGCTGGTGTGAATTGATCTAGATTTAGTTGATCTTTGTCAAATTGGCTAGGAAGGATGGACGAGAATGAGTTTGATTCAATTAGTTAAGAATTAATAATTGTTTGCTACACTTTACCAATGTTCGACCTAACAGTTACCACACCTGACCAAACACCTGCCCCTCCCTCCTTTCCCAGGTGGTGTGGAGCTGTTGGGGAAACTGTCACAGCAGGAGAAAGTGTTGGAGAAACTGTTACAGGTGGATAAAGTGCTGGAGAAACTGACATTGGAGAGACTGTCACATCAAGATAAAATGTTGGAGAGACAGTCACAGCAGACCACAACAAAGAAGGACCTGCCTACTATCTACGTAGTAACACCGACCTACAAGCGCCTCGAGCAGGTGATCCCCCACCGATAGCCTCTCCCTAACCGCCTACCTCCTACCTCCAGCCCCTCTTACCATTTCCTGGCATAGGTAACGGCTGAGAACAGTTCATTTATCAACTTGGGTTATCTCCCTGCCCCCTTCAACCATGGTGTAAGAGATAAAAGTGGACCACATAGGTATGACGGACCATTAGTATAGAATATATACAGTACAACACACTGTATAGATTTACTAAGTCTTCAGTATATAAGTCTCTGTGTCCGGCACTGAACTAAGACAGCTTTCACTTTCCCAACTGTAAAGTTAGGTACCCAATAACTGCTGGGTGGACCGGGAGTGTCCCGAGATTGAATAAGCAAACCTTAGGGCAAGAGGCGAGTGCTTTATCCATCCGGCTGCTGCACTCTACGCCCATTTCTCTTATGTGAATGGCTCGATTATTCTAGTGTTGTTATAATGGCACCACTACTGCACTAAGACTATACTGACAGTAAAACGATCCTTTATACCAGCTAGTGGCCAAAGAAATTATGCAAATATTTGGGAATCCTGAACCAGCAATCGAAATCAGTTTCGGAAACCTTTCAGAATAAAGTGTCACTGCGGGAACAGATTCATATACAATATTCCCGTGTTGCGGCAGCAGAGTCAGGTAACTTACATTAATTTCTGCGTTGTGTCTACTATAAAAGTGATACATTAAGAGAAAAAATAAATAGCCCTATACCTATAACTTACCTATCCTAATCATACCAATATAAAGTGCAGGTACAATAGTTTCCAGCCGAGCCTTAACCTAACGAACTTAAGCTTTGTTAACCCAGTCATTCTACAGTAAAGTATAGGTGTAATTTATTCCCAGGTGTAACAGTATATTTAATCTAGAAATAAATAGTATCATAGTAATATATTGTGTAACATAATAACTTAAGTATAAAGTAAAGTTACAGTAACCCTCAGTTCTTATTCTATCATAAAAAGTGGTATTTTAACATACTAACATAATTAATACAGATTTAGGAATAAAATATGTGCATTATGACAATACCATAAGGGAGCCGAGTTAACCCAAAAATAAATACTGTAGTTACGTTCTGTAAACAATGACGTGGTCAACAGATCCCGGAGTTGACGAGGCTGGCCCAGACGCTGATGAACGTGCCCAACATCCACTGGATCGTCGCCGAGGACACCAACACTACCAACACCCGGGTAGTCGAGTACCTCAAGTACACCGGCCTCCCCTACACCTACCTCCTTAGTAAGTACCTTCACTTACACCTAATTCCTTAACCTTTTTAGTGTACAATTAGGGTTTACTCTCTGAACGCAAAAACAGCTCAAAAACTAAGTTTATGAATCTTACCATATTTTTTTAGCATAGAGCTAGTAAAAAGGTAATTTTAAGAACGAATCGCGACGTCAAATCATTTTTTTTTCTGTAAGGAGTGTTAAACAGAAGATCGCATTTACATTAACTTTGTCTGAAAATTTGTTTTTGCATGAGTTGTGCTGGAATAAATACATAATTAATCCTTGCTTTCATCGGAAATAGATTTTACTTTTAAATTACAGAAAAAAATACATAGGTACATTACCTTCATCTAATAAAAAAAAGTCTGGTGCTGCATTGAAAAAAACATGAAATTTAAATTCATTTAAAACACACTTCACAGTGATGAAGAGAAAGAAATACCTGTACATATACTGATCAGTATATACATGTATAGTACTTCACCTGCACCTGAAAAAATGCATATGTTTTGTACCTCACCTGAAAAACAATAAATACACTAGCTCCATAAACCGCATTGTTAGTGTTACTAAAATTTGATTCAACCTGGATATTGTAAGCTAACCTCGGAGTACCGTCCTCATATTTGAGGGTTGGCGACCACAGTCCTCCATTCTGAATGTTCTCGGGCTGTTTTTATCTTTCATCTAAAGTTTTGTATCACTCTTGGGACCTAGTTTTTAATTTCATTCATCCATCCAAGTCTCTCTCTGCCTTCCCCTGGCCCTGTTAACCTCGCCTTAAAGCTAACATTAAAAACTCAAAGAAAAAGCAAGGTTCAGGAATAAAAAAAAAATTACTGTTTAAAATTAAGAATAATAATGCTAGGTTTATTAATTTAATTTGTTTTATAATTCAAAGTCATGTTAAATATTACATCTATGGGTTTTCAATCCCTGGAACTATTTATAACTAGACATGCATATGTCAACACAACATCCTATTATAATGATATATTACATCTGTAAAACTGACTCAATGAGTACTGACCGTGTACTGATCTGAACTTGTAAAAACTTAAACCAGTGTTAGATACAAGCATTTATTAAACCCGTTAAATCAACTTTTGTAAAAACTTATTTTTTTAGACGGCCGCCATGATAAAAAGAAACCATTAAGGACTAGTCTATTATTCCCTCCAGCATATGTCAGGTACCAATGACTTTCTACCCTGAACATTTCTGATTATCTTTTATTTTTTTAATTCTGTAAAAATCACTGATAAATTTACAATATTGTTAAAAAATCCAGGACTGTAATGAATAATAATAATGCTAATTACTTAGCCCATTCCTAGGCTACCAAAGGCCTTCAGAACAGAAATAAAATAAGGAACTCAGTCACACCGGGAAGTTTCAAATATTTGGCTTGAGAGATAAATATGAGACAATGCTCAGGGTGTAAATATAAACTGCCTCACATGGCCTACTAAGGTTCTTACTGTATAGTGTCCTTTATTATTATGTTCATCTACACCTGTCTCTTCAGAGTGTGTGTGTGTGTGTGTGTGTTTTCAATAATTTTTTTTTTTAGGAATTATATCAAGCGTTCTAAAAATTATTCACAAAATCTCTAATACCCATCCCTACGTCCACACTTCACCAGCACCCATGCCGCAGAAGTACAACGACCCCAAATACAAAGGCAAAGGCAAACCCAAGGGCGTCGCCAACAGGAATGCTGCCATTGACTGGATCCGCAACCACGCTACCGAGGGCGTCATGTACTTGGCTGACGACGACAACACTTACGACATCCGCATCTTTGAGGAAGTAGGCTCGGCGGGTTTGTTTTCATGCTGATGTTCACTTGGTATTTGTAATGTTGATGTTCGTTTGTTTGTTGTAGTGTTGATGTTATTTTATTTGTTGTGGTGTTGATGCTCACTTGTTTGTTGTGATGCTGATGATCCCTTGTTTGTTATTGTGCTAATGCTCTTTTGTTTGCTGTGGCGTTGATGTTCGTTTATTTTTTGTTGTGCTGATGCTCACTTGTTTGTTGTGACACTGATGCTCACTTGTTTGTTTCGGTACTGATGCTCACTTGTTTGTTTCGGTACTGATGCTCACTTGTTTGTTTCGGTACTGATGCTCATTTGTTAAGGGATGAAAATGCTCACACGAGATCTTTTCTGTTGCCAATTAATTATCACTATTTCTTCTTCAGACATAACTTCCCTTCTGTTGACAGTAATCGATCATACATAATGCAAATATACATAAAGGTTGTACGTATAAACAATATGAATCATAACTGACATAAATTGTAATATAATCACTATTTAGATGTCTAATGATTGGCGCAAATATGTACTTTTTTTTACTGAATGCGTTAATGACCATAACTATTGTTCGTGACCTTAACTTGACCCTGAAGTGACCTTTACTAACCCACATTACCTGATCTCTATATTGCGTTACATGACCTTGAAAGCAAAATTGGCCTGACTTTTATACACCTTGACGTGGATTTTATTTGTACATCATGACCGGCCCTAGATTTTAGACTGAGACCTGACTATTTTTTTACACCACCCGACAAACCAACTTTTACATCACCCAACTTTTACAACACCCTACAAGCCAACTTTTACACCATCCGAGAAGCCAACTTTTACATCACCCAACTTTTACACCACCCGACAAGCCAACCTTTACACCGCACGACCTATTTCTCATTTGGTTTCTCCCGGCAGATGCGGTACACGAAGAAGGTATCCATGTTTCCAGTGGGCCTCGTGACTCAGGCGGGACTCTCCACGCCCGTACTGAAGGAGGGAGAATATTACGCCTGGTATGACGGGTGGATTGGTGGCCGCAAGTTCCCTGTCGACATGGCCGGGTTTGCTGTGTCCGTCCCCTTCCTCCTGACGGTGAGTGGCGATGGCGGTGAGTGTCGATGGCGGTGAAAGACGATGACGGTGAGTGACTGACATTTGGTCTCTTCCTCCTGGCAACGAGTGACTGAAAGTTGCCTTCAGACCTCTACACTCCCTCACTAAAGCCTCACCTCTACCTCACTAAGACCCCTTCTTATCCCACGCTAAGACCTCTACACTCCCTCACTAAAACCTCAACTCTCCCTCACTAAGACCCCTTCTTATCCCACGCTAAGACCTCTACACTCCCTCACTAAAACCTCAACTCTCCCTCACTAAGACCCCTTCTTATCCCACGCTAAGACCTCTACACTCCCTCACTAAAACCTCAACTCTCCCTCACTAATTCATCACCTCTCCCTCACTGACCTTCTCCCTCATTAATATCATCCCTTTCCTTCACTGAGTCCTTCCCTCTTGACACAGGTACTCAACACCCATATCTCCACATGTTATATGTATATACCACTACTGTATATCACTATACCACACAGGTACCGGAAGCTATGATGCCCTACACCGCGGGGTATGAGGAAACTGGCTTTCTCTCCAGCCTCAAGATCAAGCCGGAAGAGATGGAGTTTAAAGCCGATAACTGCACTAAGGTAAGTTCCTCTCCTGGGTCAAGATTCGTAAGATTATATCAACTCTAATATTTCTATTATTCCCTTCCCTTCCTTTCCCTTCCCTTCCCTTCCCTTCCCTTCCCTTCCCTTCCTCTCCCCTCCCGCCTCCAAATGGTGCGCTGTCTTGATATGATTTCGACGCCATTTTGAATGTTTATTACCTGACCTTTCCCCCTTCCACTAGTTGTAAGATTCGTTCCATTAGTTATAAGACTCGTTCCATTAGTTATAAGACCCCTTCCATTAGTTATAAGACTGCAAGCTATACTGACCCTCTTCCACCTCCTCCTTTTCCCTCACTCCAGCTACACTGACTCTCACTCCAGCTACTGATCCTCCTCCTCCTCCCTCACATCAGCTGCACTGACCCTCCTCCTCTTCCCTCACATCAGCTACACTGACCCTCCTCCTCTTCCCTCGCTATAGCTACATGTATACTGCTCCCCTCTTCCTCCTCTTCCTCACATCAGCTACACTGACCCTCCTCCTCTTCCCTCCTATAGCTACATGTATACTGCTCCCCCCCCTCTTCCTCCCTCCTCTTCCCTCACATTAGCTATCCTGTGCCTCCTTCTCCTCCTCCCTCACGAGACACAAGCATATGAATGACTAAATGTGTCTGTGTGTGTGTGTGTGTAATGTTACAGATCTACGTGTGGCACACGAAGACCCACAAGAACTCCCCCTCCAGCAGGAATATCCTCAACAAGCTGTATGATGGCACTAACCTACGACTCCTACAGAAGCTCATGACCCTCAAGGAAGAACCAACCACCAAACGTCCTCCTACAACAACACGCGCCCCCCGACCTCCCCCAAAGTCCTAAGGGTATTGTTATCGCTGTGTGTGTGTGTGTGTGTGTGTGTGTGTGTGTGTGTGTAAGAATCAACTTAGTAGTCCATTGGTGATTCTGCTTCCTGTCACTATAATCATGCTTTGTACCAGACTCCTAGATGGTTACTGAAGACATACTAATATTACCGTCCAATTAGTTTAACATCAATTGCTGGGATTTTTCCGGAAGCAATAATAACAAATTCGTTTCATAATCACCTTGAGAACCATATATTGATAATTAACTCTGAACGGGCTTAATAGAGGGCGCCTATGTCCATCATTCTTTTCAGGCGTTTTAGTGAAGATTATGTTTACAATATTTGAATCAGAAAGAATAATGATTAATTATTTAGAATAAATAATTCACGATAATGACAGAATGGAGGTAAACAACGAAAAGAAAAAAGAAAAAATATAGGTGTTATTTTTCGGTAGTGAAGCGGTGGACAATTTTACTACTATGATGTTACCTTCACACAGTCCCCTTATCAACGATGCCGACGTTCGATCTGTCTACACTATAGTAACATTGATCAATTCCTGTAGTCTTTGTTCTCCTATTTTCTTTCCTCATTCTTCTTGATGACTGGTTACATGCCTTTTTTTCCGTGAACGACTTCGGTAAAGTAATTGTTTTATAACTTTTTTAGTAGCAACTTATTACACAGAGGCCACTTGTTTTGTTAGTTCACTCACAGTACAGTTTATGGTAGCGAGTTTGTCACTTAAGAGAGCGTTTAACTTTATTTAGCTGCAGTACCCGCCAGCAGAACGTGTTAATTAACCCAGTAAGCCACTCACACAGTGTTCTGTCTCAATGAAATGTCTACTCAGAATGTGTTTAATGGCAGTGTGTTGGCAACTCAAAAAGATTTATACGCTAGCCAGCTGAGAGCATTTTATGCAAGTTAACAAACCACTGTGTGTGTTTTATACAAGTCAACAGGCCACTCTTCGAGCGTATTTTGCAAAGTCAACAAGCCACTGAGAGAGCATGATATGCTAGTTAACTGAGCCACTCTGAGAGCATTTTATACTCTTTAACTGGGTGTTCCTGCCAATACTCGTACTTATATATAAGGAAGTTCACCTCTTTGGCTGAGTTAGGTAGCCCAGTCCACGCCTTGCCTCACCAGGCTAACCATGTTTTTCGCACGAGGGATGTTTTTTCCAGTGAAACGCAACCTAACCTAATGCCAATTACTTGTTATCATTTGCCCAATGTTCCAATCAAAATATTGTAGTAATTATGCTCTCTCTCTCTCTCTCTCTCTCTCTCTCTCTCTCTCTCTCTCTCTCTCTCTCTCTCTCTCTCTCTCTCTCTCTCTCTCTCTCTCTCTCTCTCTCTCTCTCTCTCTCTCTCTCTCTCTCTGTCTCAGATGTATTCAAATTAGGATCCTTTGCATTTTCATTGTTTGTTACAGCTAGAGAGAGAGAGGAGATATTCATCCAATGTACTGTAAATAAAAATTAATGTTAACTGTTGATTTACATGTTAAATTAATCAAGTGTTAATAAACAACAATTGAAGCCTTTTCACTGTACAATAGTGAGGTGGAAGGCGAGCGAGAACCACCAAACACAACTGCATATACTGATTAACAAAGTACCAAATAAAAAAAATAATACACAAATTTTATATACATTTAATGTCCCAAACTTAAAAAATAAATAAAAGTTACTTAAAAATTAAAAGAATTCATTACAAAAAAATACACCAGAAGAATTAAATGATCCGTAACGCAGATATGAATTTAAGATACTTAGCGACGAATGACAACAATAATAAGTGTAAGTCAGCGCCACAAGTGTCTACGATGGACGACGTACGGCACACAGGAGGAAATCACGACCGACGTATGACCCAAACGACGACAGAACGACACAACGATGACAGGACGACTGACATACGACACATAATAATCACAACTGACGTGCGACATACATGATGACATATAACTACCGCCTACGACCGAATTTGGACGAATCACGACCGACAACATGAGATGGACGAATCACGACCGACAACATGAGATGGACGACCTAGAGAAAACAACTCCACGATTACGAACGAGAGGAGGAAGACGTCGAAGGATTGTGTGTGTGTGTGTGTGTGTGTGTGTGTGTGTGTGTGTGTGTGTGTGTGTGTTATAATTATGTGATTTAGTTTCACTTTCTCTTTTACGCTTTTAAATGTGTCCAATGACACACACACACACACACACACACACACACACGCACGCACGCGCACACGCACGCACGCACGCACACACACACACACACACACACACACACACACACACACACACACACACACACGCGCGCGCGCACACGCATCATAACAGGTACAAGCGGCATATACACAGAAAATAAGGCTCTAATCTCTTATAACGACCTCTATTTTTTCCGCTTCAGTCCTGCCTCTACGTGGCTGTAGTCCCGGCGATAAGTTTCCACCGAGTCAAAAAAGTATTCAGATTGAGTGTCTTTCAGTAATTCCTAAGTACAAAAGTTATCTGGGCGTTGACACATCTGAATATATCACAACAACAACAACAACAAACACCATCTACACCATCTTTTATTCTCAGGTTAAGTAACTTTGATAGATTGATCGAGGTGATGAAAGAATGTCAATGACCTTGCAACTGATTACTAGCTGATAGGTGGATGGACAGGTAGCTTGAATCCAATGCTTAGAAGTGTCAGTTTGAGTTGAGAGTTTGATGGATCGAGTTGTTGAAAATATGTCGATGATCATGCTCTCGAATTAAAAGGTTGATAGAAAGATGGACAAAAACAGATAGATCGTGTTGTTATAGTACCTGTGTTAGTAATGTTGAAGGCGAGTTGACAGACAAACAGATAGATGGAGTTAGTACAAGTGTGTCAGTAATCATGAGTCATTGAGCGTCGGCAACATGACACACGGCCTTCATAAACAACAAAGATGGCGGGGGCGAGGCGAGGCTATATAAAGAGAGGTCAGGAGGTAGGGAGACTCAGTTGACCAGCGTGAGTTAGACGAAGATGGTGGCGCCGCTAATCCTGGGCGTTGTAGCGTCTCTCCTAGCAAACTCCGCCACCGCCCAAGACATAAACAGTAAGTTCTCATCTTGTCTTTATGAGAATCGTGGTAAAGATAAGACTATTATTCTATAAGATGTGCTAAACTGTTTCGTAAGTGAGGACAACAAGCAATAATGTTTAGTTCGGAACCTTGAAGTGACAGAATGACTGGCACTGACACCCCCCCCGCCTCCACTCCCCAACCCTCCCTTCACTAGTCACATACAGTATAGTTCAAGGTCTTGATAATGACACAAGTGACTGAGTCTATGGCGATCTAAATCAATTCTCAGACAATTCTGGGACTTAATATAACAAAATTTAATGAATTTGTGACGCCTCTTCTCCCAACTGTTCATGTATAATAGGTCAGGGACTCAGTGTGACAGAGTGACCGATATTGTGACAAGATATACCCTTGACCACCAGACAGTGTCGAGGTCAAGGCACTCAACGAACATGTGATTTTCTATTTCTTCAGTGACGCCCACCCTAACACTACCTGGGGGCCTAGGGGGGGGGGGTTAGGTTACAGAAGGGTGTTTAATCTTAAGGTGACATAAGCTATGGGTTAATCTTGAGGTGTTCCGGTGAATGGCCTCCTGGCTTACATAATGATAAACTCTTAAACCTCTGTTTGTACACATTAGAGGCACAGGAACATAAACTGATACGTGATCCTCCATATTATTAATATGTTTTGATCCACAAGAAGAAAAATATTAGGTAGAACAAGAAAACATTCATACAGGGGAAACAAGAAAACATTTATATGATAGAGAACGAGAAAACATTGGTAAAGGAGGCGGATAAACAGACGTCATATAGAGTGCGAAAGTTAGAGACAAGAAATGATGGAGAGAACAATGATGCAAGAAAAGTGTTGAAAAGAAAACATAAAGGCATGACACTTCCTCACATCATTATCATCTCTAACAACACTTCACTATCATTCGTCTTGGACAGGGAGTCGGGTTTTGTTCACAAGAAAACAATAACACTAGCTTGACCTTTCTGCATATATTGTGCTACGAGTTGGGTGCTCAGGTTTTCTTCGCGAAATTACAATAACACAATCTTGACTTCTCCTCATACGTGTCACCTTTGTCGCGTGCGCGCTCTTCTCAAGTACTGATAATACACCTCTAGGATCTGTGACGACGACTACTGCAATCGTTTTATCAGACAACTCAACTTGCTATGTGATTTCTACTTCTTCTTGTTGACCATATTTTCTTACAGCCACTGTCATCCGTTTCTTTCTATAGTTGTCAGCCTCCACTATCATCCGTTTCTTCCTATGACTGTCAGCCTCCACTATCATCCGTTTCTTCCCATAGCTGTCAACCTACACTATCATATTCTCCTACAGTATAGCTGTCAGTCTACACTATCATGTTTCTTCTTATAGCTGTCAGCATTCACTATCATCCGTTTCTTCCTTAACTAACCTAATCTTAACTTACCTTACTAACCTAAACTAACCTTACCTCACCTAACTTAATTGATCTACTTACCTCAATAAACATAACCTTACCACACCTAACTTAACCAAATTTAACCTTAACTCACCCTAACTTAACTTTACTTCACCTTACCTAACCTAACCCGACCATTACGATAGGGGCTGAATCCTATGGTGCTCTAGTCTTAATGGACACCAATCATTGTGGACCTCCAGTATATCCTAATAGTTACATTGAGATGGGGTGCAGGTGTAAGGCTGTGGTCTAACACACAACTGGCGACTGTATTCCCTTAATGGACTCACTTAACCTGTGGCGTGTCTGGTTAATGTGTGGCTTTGTGGTCCCTGTATACTGTAGAGGATCTGTCCCTTTGTAGTCCCTTTATATATAGTCAGTGTCCAGGATACACCTTAGCTTATGTCGAGGTTATAACTTACTACTGCGCTTTAACAACTGGACCTTTAACCACGTAATCTTTAGGTCAGTACATACACCAACCATCAATAAATCAAAATTACCAGAGATTCATCTTTCTGGTTACAGTAGTACAGTGAGCTACCGGACTGGCATCCTCGGGTGTACAGTACTGTAGTCAGATACTGTCCACCTCACTCCGTTCTTTTCCTAAACACAATCACTTAGATCACATCCTTCTGTGTTAGATGCCAGTTTCTATATACTCAGTGTCTTCATCTATTTCTACAACAGCGGGAAATTAGGTCCTTCTATAAACATGACACTATTATTACAGCGTTGTGACTCAATAAGGATGCCAAATATTCAGGTTTATCAACATACAGTACGTACGATCAAGGATATTCCCTCTTGTTTAACTTAGCCCCTTCCCAGTCATTTTCTACACACGTCATCCACCCCTCACACAGATTACTCTCTCTTGATTCATCCCACACTGAGGGTAGGTGGGGGGTGAGGGGGGAGGAGAGATTGAAGCTAATAGATAAAATGGTAGATAGATGTCTAGAAAACTTCAAGAGAACAGTGACATAAATTACTTACTCACGATGTGACTGACATAGTCTTTTTTGCGCGTGAGGAATTGTTATAAGGGTGGCAAAACGCACACAATGATCAGCTCTTGTTCAGTCTTGTTGAATAATGAGACATGTTGTTGAAGAGCGCCTATATATAAAAATAAACCCACAGTCTACCCTATTATTGCGTCACATCCCTTTAAAACATAGTTTGGGACTTTGATATTGAACTTACAAGTGCGTTAAGTATTGCAATTGTGTAATAATTAAGGCTCATATTGGGTTAAGTACCCCTCATGGCCGACTAGGAGGCATTTATTGCACCACACCAGAGAGGAGAGGAGGTTTATCCTGACACGAGTGTGATTTCTCCTAGAAAATACTTTAATTTACTTACATTTTAGTTATAGTGATTAAGGCTCCAATACTGACTGCAAATGCAGTTCAATAAGATGCTACCGAGTGGGCAGACACAAGTATTGCTGGCAAAACCTTAGTCTATTTGTAAGTTCTTCAGGGACACTTCTGAATACACACACACACAATAGAGATATGCCTCCTGAAGGAACATTAAGACTAACAAGTAAACTACATTCAAACCAGACTTGTTTGGCATAAGTTTGGACCAGATGAACATACATACTGTAGTTAGTAGATGTGTAATAAGAGGTGATAAATACCATTAGTTCATAGTAGACGGGAAGAAGCGAGAGGACAGGAAATGCCATAAACGTGGAGTACAAGCCGTGAAAGCTGGGAATAACGATGAAGCTGGACTAAATTAAGTCAGCACGCAGGAGGCTGACCCAGACGGGGGGTGGGGGGGAGGGGGGTGTGAAGCCTCGGGGTGTTAGGTCCTCGCCACCACCCTACAGTACTGTGTCTTGTTAGGGTTGAATTGAAACAGTTTATTTAGCCAGAAAAACACAGATACAGAGTGGATAATACTAACAATATTAACATGGCCAAGCCAGTTGAGAACCTCAGCTCTCCTGTAGGCATCTGACATATACTGTACTTTCATCTCAAGGAAGTATTGTGTAACATTTAGTATCATCTGGAATAGTACACATAGCATGGTGGTAATAAGAACATCTCAGAATGTTACCACGGTTATCACTTCAATATTTATTTATTTTATTTATTTATTTATTTTATTATTTTTTTTTATAATATAAGCATTATACATAATTTACAGTGGAATTGAAAAACATAAGTATAATGGGGAAGCAGTACAAGATGGGTTGTACAGTATTAAGGTTGGACAGGAGGACAGAGCTGTCAGGATTATGTCTAGTTGGCAAATATATTTATTGCAATGGAAATTTCTTATCTATTTACATGATAATTTCCGATAAAACGGTTTTGATGGTACAATAAAAACAAGTATATATAGTAGGTATAGTGTAAATAATAATAATAATTAACGGTTTATTGAAAAAGTTCTGCAGCCCGAAGGCTGCAAATATACATTGGACATAAATGACTTATTACATACATTGGTGGTTTAACAAAAGCCTTCATTAGAGAAAGGTAAAGGAACATACAGTGAACATACAGATTAATGTAGGTGTTGAACAGCAAACTCGTAGTGTATAGTAACTCCCTCCCAGATGGTGTTAGGAGGAACTCACGTGGTGTAGTAGTTCCCTCAGATGGTGTTATGAGGGACCTGGCGTGGTGTAGTAATTCCCTCACAGATGGTGTTATGAGGGGCCTCACGTGGTGTAGTAATTCCTTCACAGATGGTGTTATGCGGGGCCTCACGTGGTGTAGTAATTCCTTCACAGATGGTGTTATGAGGGGCCTCATGTGGTGTAGTAACTCCTTCACATATGGTGTTATGAGGGGCCTGACGTGGTGTAGTAATTCCCTCACAGATGGTGTTATATGAGTGAGGTGTGGTCCCAGGCCTTCCTATCGTAGACGGATTAACACATCGCTGGTTGTTGGGTCTCACGGGCCGTTATCACTGGGTACCTGGGACCTCACTGTGTGAAGGTTAACTTGGGTGCGACTGTTACTGTTGAGTTGTTCTCACTGACTTAAGCACTGTTCACCCTGTTCACCTCTGTTTAACACTGGTTCCGTTCCTTTCCTAAATGAAATTGTAACTTCTGGCGAGAACTTGTTGATATTCCGGTGGGGAGGAGGGTTCAGGGGAGGGGGTTGGTATGGGCCAACTTAACAGTTGACCTGGCTGCTCCGAGAGGAGCGCCAGGTACGTCTTGACCCTTCGGTGGTCAAGGATGTGTGTGTGTGTGTGTGTAGATGTTATTATTGTTCTTATTTCTACACCTAATGTACATCAGTGACTCCTCCATGGGTGTATTACTTTCTGCGCGGAGAAGTACATTCTTGTTTCAGTTCTACTTGATGACTCAGTAAGCTTGAAATCGCGACAGCTTGAAAAGAATGATAGGGTTTATGTTTACCATCTCGTTGAAACTTTTAAGCGTCTCTGTGGTGTATCATGTCGGGTTGTGTTTGAAAAGCTGACAGTCCCATAATATTTAGCCAACCTGTACCTGGATTGAAAGCGATTTCTTCTATGGATGATTTTACTCACCCTGTGTTCTACTTTTTTGTTCTAAGGAAAAATTAACCCTAGTGACAGGTGGACAGACGCACTGACAAACAGACGCACAAACGATCAGGGAAATACGAGGGAGCTAACTATTAGCGCAGCATGAAGCAGATGATTTATATAAGGCATCACAGCAGAGACTCATAAGGATTAAATATTGACTAATTTACTCACATTACTTGAAACTGTGACAGACTCAGGACCAGGGATTTCCAGTTAATATATTACTTATTGGTTTCTCTGATGCATTCGAGATAGATCCATATATAAGACTATTAAAAATTCACCTTTGCAGCACCACGGGTGAAATACTGCAATGGCTTAAAAAAAACTCTGGTTAAAAGATGGGAATCAAAGAGTTGTTCTAATTAGAGTAAAATCAACCAGGTCGAGAGCAAAGTACCTCAAGGAGTCGTCTTAGGTCCTATTGTACTTACGATCAACGAAAATGACGAAAACATCTCGAGAAACATCATCAAATATGCGGACGATATAAACAATTCTTCAGAAAGATTGAAAACCAAGAAGACATTATATCAATACCAATTGGTGAGCTTAAACTGTCCAAATGGTCGAACAACTGACAAATAACATTCCATAGTGTAAAGTGTAAGGCTTCTTGTGAGTTAGTTTATGGTAGAGTCTATGAGATAAACACCCAATTTTCACCAGCTAGCTAATAACCATGTACGTGATGGTCTAGTCAGGGCACTCACTTAATTCTAACCGGGTAAATTGTCTCTACTTAAGGGAGTGTGGGAGTAGCTTAGTTCCTGGTGGCGGGGACCGAGGGGTTAGGGAAAGGGGGGGAAGGAGTAGGGAGGGGTTGACGAAAGTAGAGGAGGAGGGGAGAAGGGACCACTTCTTTCATGAGAGCCGAGCCGAGCCAATCCTATCATGACAGACTATCCCATCATGACAACCCATTCCATCATGACAGACTATCCCATCATGACAACCCATCCCGTCATGACAGCCCATTCCTTCACGAGAGCCCATCCCATCATGACAGCCCATTCCTTCATGAGAGCCCATCCCATCATGACAGCCCATTCCTTCATGAGAGCCCATCCCATCATGACAGCCCATCCCATCGTGACAGCCCATCGCATCATGACAGCCAATCCCATCATGACAGCCCATCCCATCATTCCTTCATGAGAGCCCATCCCATCGACAGCCCATCCCATCGCATCAGCCCATCCCATCATGACAGCCCATTCTTCATGAGAGCCATCATGACAGCCCATTCCTTCATGACCCATTCCCATCATGAGCCCAGGATCCAGCCCATCCCATCGTGACAACCCATCGCATCATGCAGCCAATCCCATCATGACAGCCCATCCCATGACAGCCCATCATGACAGCCCATTCCTTCATGAGAGCCCATCCCATCATGACAGCCCATCCCATCGTGACAGCCCATCGCATCATGACAGCCAATCCCATCATGACAGCCCATCCCATCATGACAGCCCATTCCTTCATGAGAGCCCATCCCATCATGACAGCCCATCCCATCGCATCATGACAGCCCATCCCATCATGACAGCCCTCCCTTAAATCAATGCAGCTGTTAGTGTATACTGTATGAGGAAATCTCCCGATGGTCCGATAAGATTTGTGATTTCTGGCGGATTTTCGTCAAAATTTGCAACTATTTGAAGAAAAAAACACGTTCATGTGTCAGTGGTCAGATAGTAATACACTTTACTCTCTTTTTATTCCAGATGAGGATGGCTTTTCACCCTGGATGCAAGCTCCCTCACAAGCCTGGGGTGACAGAAGCCAAGAAGGTGGCGACCACATCCCCATTTCGGAAATATTGGCGAACTGGCTGGAGCAGAACCCAGGCGCCTTAACGAACAACCACGATTTGGATGAGTTAATTGAGAAGATGAGTTCCGGTGAGGCGGAGGAGTACCTCACCAGGGTCCTCAAAAATGTTGTTCGTGGCCTGAAGGACGTCGTGGCGTCTGGGGACACTGAGGATGACAGTCATGAAGCAAATTATAGCGAAGAAGACCTTGAGATGGATGGGAATCTTGACAGTGAGTTGGATGAGGATCTTGACAGTGAGTTGGATGAGGATCTTGACAGTGAGTTGGATGAGGATCTTGATAACACAGAGCTAGACGAAGATCTGGTGAAGCAACTAGTTGGAGACCTTGACTTCGGCATTGATTGCAATGGTGATGAATGTGAAGAGGAGCCAGTCGCTGAAGCTGCCACGTATTCTGACAGTGAGGAAGATGAAGTCTTGATTAGACGCAAGAGATCTCCGGGAGTTACGAGAAGAAGAAGCAGCAGCTCCAGAAGATCAAGTAGTAGTAGCAGCAGTAGTTCTAGATACGGATCAAGTAGCAGTAGCAGTGGTTCTAGATACGGATCAAGTGGTAGTAGCAGTGGTACTAGTTACGGATCAAGTGGTAGTAGCAGTGGTACTAGATACGGATCAAGTGGTAGTCGCAGTGGTTCATCCAGCAGCAGCAGCAGCACCAACAGGGTTACTTCAGGCAGTGCTGGCGCTGGGACCACCGGTGGTAGTTCAAGTGGAACAGTATATCCATCAGCCCCTAGACCAGGTACAGGGTACCCAACTGGCACCCAACCAGTTGGTGGATATCCCACTGGTACAAAACCCGCTGGTGGCTATCCTACAGGTACACAGCCCGTCCCAGGATATCCCACTGGTACAAGACCTGTTGGTGGTTATCCCACAGGTACACAGCCCGTCCCAGGATATCCCACTGGTACAAGACCTGTTGGTGGTTATCCCACAGGTACACAGCCCGTCCCAGGATATCCCACAGGTACAAGACCCGCTGGTGGCTATCCTACAGGTACACAGCCCGTCCCAGGATATCCCACTGGTACAAGACCTGTTGGTGGCTATCCCACAGGTACACAGCCAGTTCCAGGATACCCATCTGGCACTCAACCTTTCGGAAGCTACCCTTCTGGAAATCAACCTTACGGTGGATACCCCGCGGTCAGCCATGGCGGTTATTCTCATTTCAGCCAGCCTCGCGCTACTTACCCTTCTGCCTATCAACCGTATAGCGGGTACCCGACAGCAACTCGACCAGGCTCCCCAATGATGGGGATGGCTGCTGCTGGAGGCTTTGGCGGATACCCAGTAGGAGGATATCCTAAGCCACTTAAAAATAAGAACAAGAAAGATAAGGTGAAGGCGGCCATTGGTGCAGCAGTTACGGGCATAATTGCTCACAAGGCCATGAAGAAAAGCAAGTTCCTCTCCCCGTCGCACCTGCCAGGGTATGGTCACGGGAGCTTCGGGACCAAGCTGGCTGCTGGTGGCCTTGCGGGAATGGCAGTTGGGAAGATCGGGAAGAAAATATTGGGTGCCTACGTTAAGATACAGATAGCTAAATACGCTCTCAAGTTCGGCGCAGCAGCAGCGAAGGCATATTTCCAATACAAGCTCGGCCTCGATCTGGACGAGTACAAGATCGGGAAGTTCGTGCACCGGTATCATCAGCAGCGGGTGAGGGGCGACACTCGCTGGCGTTATTACCGTCATCACAACCGCATGAATGACAACAATGAGACTGCTCAAGATAACATCACGCTAGGTAAAGTGGCGCCAGTGTCTTCATCCCTATCCCTATGTATAGCTGCGGCCAAAATTACCTCGACCTTTGGCAATATGTAGGTCACATGTTTGAGCAAGTGATACTGTTTATCTTTATGATTAATAGCAGACTAAAAACATGAAAAATATCATTATATAATACAGAGAAATGCTGAGTGAATAAATGACCCTCAAGTAGATGCCAGATATTGCCACTAGTGTCTAGGAATTTGTCCTCCACTACTCAAGGTCAGGAGAGAGAGAGAGAGAGAGAGACGTTTGGTATTCTATGGCACCATGAATTTTGCGACGTCACACACACACATAAACACACAAGGGAGGTCGTGGCAGTGAAGCAAGTGGTTACCATGCGTTTTGCAGCCACTAACAGGAGCTACACCAAGGCTGACCGTGACCCTTTCATTATTCCTTTAAAAAACGAATTAAATAGTGTATAATATAAACTTGGCAATGTTTACATCGTAAGTTGCTATTTTTTAATACGCGTCTCAACAGTTGTGAGATTAGGGGAATGTCATCTTGTCTCGTCTTTTGTTTAAACAGTTGATTACATAGGGATCACTATTTCTAATTGTTATTGTTAGTAATAGATCGTAGTAGTAGTCGTAGTAATAGTAAAATAATAATAGTAGTAGTAATAGTAGTAGAAATATTTATTAATACAGAAATAATAATAATAGTAATATAACCTTAAATTTCAGACACACAATCACATGAGTTACGCGATGTTGTTTTGTTTTAGGTGACGCTGTTCCCTTCACGGCGACTACTGTGTAAATAATGTTTCTTTTGTTTTTATGTGGTCTTGATTTCGGACGATATCTCTGAAACGCCTTGAAAAGATGAGCCACGAAAAAAAATAAGACCTTAGTGCTACATTACTATATATTTATACAACCCAATAATCTACAGGCAGGAGACGATATACCACTATGGGAGGCGTTAGGTCAACACGAACTCTTAACATCCCCGCCATAATAAAACACACTAACGGAATAGATAAAAAAAAAATTACTTGTCAGTTAGAAAAATATTTACCATCACCTATCCTAATTAACCTGAGCTTTATGTATAACAGTTCGCGCGCACACACACACACACACACACACACACACACACACACTATTAAACTGAAGGGTGTCCAAGTAAAATAAGGACTCAAAAGTTATATATTACGTCACTTAGTCATCCAAATCACCTACACTTATTGACTTGGTTAGGTTAGGTTAGGTTAGATTATGAGACTGTAATAGGATAGGTTAGGTTAGGTTACGAGACTGTAATAGCCGTCTCTGAGTCGTAACATGAGTATTATAACAATTTACTCGTTTTTTTTTTGCTCAGTTCATGACGTAATGTTCCTGGATGATTAAACAAGATTGGAATGTTCCAATTTGATCTTCTCGAGAGGGTCTTACTTGTGTGTGTGTGTGTGTGTGTGTGTGTGTGTGTGTGTGTGTTCGTGTATGAGTAAGCGTATGAGTGTGTGTGTCTGCTACCGGGTTCGTTTCTTGGGGTGAGACCTTCAACTAACTTCTTTCAAAACAACTTAGTGTTATGATTCAGTTGGGCGGCAATAGTTACTGTCATTAATACTACTATCACGTATTGCAAGACGGTCATAACCTTCAAGACATACTCAGCCTGGACGACTCAGCCTTCCTGCTTGTTGCTGTGTTGACGTGAGTAGTTACTTGTACCGCGGTGTAAGGAGAGCGACCTCGTCCCAGTAACAGATTGACCGGGATGAACAAGACGCTGCCCACAGAGTCATAACCGTCAATTATTCCCTGTTGGTGGTGGTCTGAAGGCTTACATGTGGGTACTGTGTGCGTTTTGTTCCTCTCTGTCCTCTCTCTCAGTTGACCCTCCTTCCTCTATATCTTGTCCTCTGTGTGTGTGTGTGTGTGTGTGTGTGTGTGTGTGTGTGTATCCCTGGTTCAGCCACACCTCCACCATCCATCCAGCTTAACGGTAGTATCTTCTCTAATGTTACCTACTTTCAGTATCTCGGCTTCCACCTGTCCACCACCGCGGACATCGATGAAGAGTTTCAATATCGGATCAATTGTGTATCTCGAGCCTTTGGCAGATTCAATACCCGTGTCCTCATTCGTAGGGAGCTGAAATTATCTACAAAGTTGTACGTATATCGAGCAGTGGTCCTTCCCACCCTGCTATATGGCAGCGAGACATGGATCACATACAGGAGGCACCTCAAGGCACTTAAAAGCTTTCACCAACGTAGTCTACGTTCCATCTTCCGAGTTCGCTGGGAAGACAAGAGAACAAAGGCTAGTATTCACCCTGACTCAACTGTAGGAGCATCGAGGCTACCATTACCCATGAGCAACTTCGTTGGACTGGCCATGTTACCCGCATGGACGACAGTAGACTGTCAAAGCAGCTACTTTACGGTCACCTAACGAATAGTAAACGTAACGCTGGCGGGCAACTGAAAAGGTATAAGGATAGTCTTAAAACAAACCTGAACAACTGCCAAATCGATCCCCCTCACCTGGGGGAGGATTACTCCACACCGTAACGCTTGGAGGAGCACCACACGAGGTGTCAATACTTTCGAGGTAGACCGACTGCATATCGAGGCAGACAAGTGCCAACGCCGAAAAGACGCTGCCGCCGCCCCGTGCAACATCTGTGGACGACACTGCCGGTCCCGTATCGGCCTCTCTAGTCACCTCAGAGCTCACTAATAAAGGTGACATCCCTAATAACTCATATCAATGTCTCGTAGCTGGATAATCGTCATACCCGATTCCGGGTGACAGCAAAGTAATAGTAGTAGTTCGTCACTATCCATATAATGTAGTACTACAAGCGTAGACAGCATCATAAGTAAATTTGCTGACGGCACTAAAATAGGGTGTGTAATTAAATCTGACGAGGACTCCGCAAAACTACAGGAAGACCTAAACAAATTTTTCGCATGGTCTGAAAAATGGTAGATGAAACTTAAAGTGGACAATTGTAAAGTATTTAGTCTAGGAGATGTAACCTGAGAAATCAGATATCAGATGAACAACGTTTTTATAGAGAAATCCGACTGTGAGAAAGATTTAAGAGTAATGATACGCAGGAATCTTAAACCAAGACAACAATGTGTAGTTGCTCGAAACAAGGTTAACAAAGTACTTGGGTTCATACAAAGGAGTGTTAGTTACAAGAATAGCGAGGTTATCCTAAAAATATATCTTGCGCTTGTGAGACCTCACTTGGATTACACGATTCAGTTCTGATCACCTTACTACAGAATGGATATAGAATCCCTAGAAAGCATTCAGAGGAGAATGACAAGAGTAATCCCGGGCATTAGGAACCGTGAGTACATAGACAGGGGCGATATGATCGAGGTGAATAAATGAAAGTCAGGGTTAAACAAAGGTGATATAACAAAGGTACTTAACTATCCAACCAGGAGCGAATTCATGGCAATGGTTTTAAATTAGACAAATTTAGATTTAGGCGCGAGATAGGAAAACATTGGTTTGGAAATAGATTAGTGGATGAGTGGAACAAGTTACCGAACATCATCATTAACTCGAATACGCTGGATAGCTTCAAATATAGGCTGGACGGATATATGAGCGATATGGGTTGGGTGTAAACAGGGCTGCCTAGTATGGGCCAATGGGCCCGCTGCATCTTCCTCCATGTTTATGTTCTTATATGCTTAGTACTTGAGGCAGGAAGATAAAGCTCTTAAATAAAATCTACATAATTTAACATGTTTACATTTCCACTCGTTAACCTGTGGGTTTTTTAGTTCTTGATCTTCATAATATTGTCTGTATTTTTCCGCCTTTCTCAGACCGCCCAGTAGTTATAAATACGAACACTTTCCCTCCAGAGCAGCAGTGAATTAACCCAGTCTCTAGCCACTGTCACGTTGCTGGAGACAAAACACACGGAATAAAAGTACCGCTCCAGTGTACTTGATACTGTCCTTAGTTCTCTTTGGTGTTTGCTGAAAATCACTCAATAAGATCTTACATACCCGTACACCCATTGGTTATGTAACGGACTTGCTGTATATAGAGCTAGGAACTAACATAGCCATAGAATTGACCGTAATTTGACCACCTCACTAACTGAAAGGGCGATCAGAAGGTTGCGCAACTCTTGACATACCGAAGATCTCCGTCACAATATTTAATCTAATAAACCAAGGAAGACAAGTGTCTAAAAAACACAACTTCCTGATAAATGTAAAGTATGGGCATAGTAAGTGGCTGTTTTGAAACATATCAAGAGTTTCTATCCCGCACGTCTCTCTCCGTGATGAAGATGGAGTCCTTAGGCGAGCCGACTACTTATGCAATATGAGAGTTATGGACTTAAGACGACACACTTAAACTTACTGTGATGTTATAGTGGTTATGAGAGAGCAGCTGACATGCCATGACATCACCGCGGATATTGCGACCGCGCTTTACTGATCTAATTTAGGTAATTTCATCTTCTAAAGTCTAAACGGATGGGAAAAATGCCGATGGAAGAAGACTCGCTGAAGACCAACAAAAGTATGACTACGCACACCCATTCACCTCGGAGAGAGATCTGACCTTCACTTCTCCTTGGTTTATCTATCCCTTTCATGCCACCATTTACATCATCACAACACCACACCAACTATTCCTTATCTCTCCACGTTGTTTCTCTATTCCTCTGGCTTTATCCACCCCTCCCTCACGTCTACCATTCACAAAACACTTCAGCAACACGACCACTTGACCACAACAACATATGACGCTGTTACACCAATGATCACTGGTAACAGCCTCCCAACACTCCCTGGCCTGAGGTCCACAAACACTTACTCTGCTAATATGCTTCCCTTGATCGATATCCAAGGGATGTATCTAGTTCAGGGAGTCTTAGTGTTAAATCTAATGCCTTGTTTGACAGTTTTTGTCCTACAGCTTAACACAGCCAGTTAATTATATATATATATATATATATATATATATATATATATATATATATATATATATATATATATATATATATATATATATATATATATATATTTATTTATTTATTTATCTTTTTTTTTTTACCCCCTCGGCCTAGGTGGGGACACGTGTAAGTCTGTCTGTATATTTACGTGTGTGTTTCTCTGTACCGTCATCTGTGTGCGTGTGTGTGTTTGTATCGTCAACTCCCCCCACGACAATTGACGAAACTTGGTACAAATGACGCATAGTGTGTGGATGGGTGATGTGCGTGTGTAGTGATGACGCCACTCTAACCAACTGTGGGGGATGGTCGGTACTTTTGTGGTCTAATACAACTCACCCACAAGACTCTTATTTACTCCACACACACTGTTGTATTACGCCTTTTGTCACAATATCTCATCCTTAATAACGAAACTAGTGATACTGGCGGGACTGTGACGCACTTAACAATCTGTGACGTCAACGAATGGGATTGTCCTGAATCACTCAACGTAATTTTATCCCATTTCAAGAATTTTGGGTAATGAGGCGTTGTGTGTGTGTGTGTGTGTGTGTGTGTGTGTGTGTGTGTGTGTGTGTGTGTGTGTGTGTGTCCGGGGGAGAGAGTAGAGCGAGGCTGGAGAAAGGAAGACAAGGAGCAGAGAGGAGGATGGAAAGAGGAGGTGGGCGGGAAGAGGAAGGTAGAGGTGAGGGATGGGAAGGAGGAGAGAGGAAGGAAAGGGGAGGGAGGTGGAGAGTTAGAGTGAAAAAAGAGAAGGGGGCGAAAGGGTAATGAACCGAGAGGGGAGGAAGGGAGAAGAGGGGACGGAAGGGGGAGAAAAATGGGAGTGGGAAAGGGGGAAAGGGGAAGAAATCTGGGGAAAGAAGGAACAGGGTAAAGGAGTGATGTAGGGAAGAGAGGGGGATACGATGAGGGGAGGTGGAGAAGGGGTGAGGTGAGGGGAGGAAAGGAAGGGGTGAGGTAAGGTGATAGGGGAGAGATGAAGGGTTCAGGGTAAAAGATGCCTTGAAGAAGAGAGAGAGAGAGAGAGAGAGAGAGAGGATTAATGGGGGAAGGGAGTAGAGTAGAGTAGAGAGTGAGGAGGAGACGAGGAGAAAATATAGAGGGTGAAGGGAGGATGGCAGAGTGAGGAGAGAGGGTGATGGCAGATGGTAGGATGATGGAAATGGTTGGGTGAGGCGAGGTGTGAGGGAAGGTAGAAGGGTCAGGGGAGATGGTAGGGTAAGGGAGAGGGTTAGGTAGCGTGAGGGTGAGGTAAGGTAGGGTGAGAGACAGGGGGGGTGGATATGGCAGTGTGAGGGTAGGGAGGGAGCAGCATTAAGTGTTGTTGTTGGGTGAAACACACATATGTCACAGTTGGTAGGATGTGTCATGGTCGGCTAGCCTCTGTTTTAGGCAATTTAAGCTGTGGGGTATTGTTTGTGTGTGTGTGTGTGTGTGTGTGTGTGTGTGTGTGTGTGTGTACATTTTGTATTTGACTAGATACTTGCCTATCCAGGCTCCACACCTACTACACCTGCATTGCCTCAGGCTCCACCTACTACATGCATTGCCTCAGGCCCCACCTACCTGCATTGTATCATGCCCCACACCTACTACACCTGCATTGCCTCAGGCCCCACACCTACTACACCTGCATTGCCTCAGGCCCCACACCTACTACGTCTGCATTGTATCATGCCCCACACCTACTACACCTGCATTAGATCATGCCCCACACCTACTACACCTGCATTGCCTCATGCCCCACACCTACTACACCTGCATTGCCTCAGGCCCCACACCTACTACACCTGCTCTGTCATTTCAGGTGAGTTCTGCCGACGGCCGTGTGTGAAGGACGACCACCGCATCTGTCAGTTCAACTTCGACATTCACCTGTACCAGACCATGTCCAGGTGAGCTCTCCCTCTCTCTTCCCTCATCTCCTTAGGTCGATTACTTTTATAGTTTTGTCTGTCTGTCTGTCTGTCTGTCTGTCTGTCTCTTTTTTGTCCATGTGTTTGTCTAGTAGCACTAGATGGGTTTTTTACTAGTACAAAAATAAAGGCAAAGGAAAGTTTGGTTAAATTTTAGTTAACAAATACTCTAAGGTACTTGGTCGATATCTCATGATTGTAGTTATTATTATCATTATTATTATTATTGTTGTTGTTGTTGTTGTTTCTCTTTCGATGTGTCGTAACATCCACTGTCAACCTTACCCAATTTAATCCCACCTCACCCTAACCCTCCCTAAGCTATGACCCACCTCACGCTAACTCAACGGTACTTATATTCCAGGGCGTGTTATGACTGTCCTAGGAACTCCACTGACTGTGAGCGACCAGAATGCGTAGCGGCCGACGGTGTCCGCAGGATGGTAGTGGCCGCCAACAAGGCCATCCCAGGTCCTCCTATAGAGGTCAGTCCTCACCCCTGTACTGTACATTATTTACGAAGACTTGGTCAGTCCACCTCTTATTAGTTCAGTCAACCAGCAATACCTTAGATGATGACCGTGTAAAAATTTCCCACTAAAATTTATTTGAGGTATTCGACAGGTTCACAGTCCTGTATATATCTCAAATTTAAACAAACATTCGTCAAAAGAGACTCACGGAAAGCTGTATGTTAGGACGCCCGTTGGCAACTTCTTCAGTTACACTCATACATGAGAGGGAGATGCCCACTGAGAATTAAAACTGTCACTTTAAGAGGTTATATCAAGAGATCACTGTTGTTGTAACTTGTTGTATGTATGAGTGTAGAGGAGACGTTTACGGTGTGTCTACAGTGCTAAAATCAATGTCATACCAACTGTGAACCCTTGACCTGTACAAAAGAAAAATATATTCACAGAGAATCACAGGACTTGTGATTCTTATAATATACAAATAACCACAAAGAAACAAAAACAAGATTAGATGAAAGCACCTTCGTGAACGTCCACATAAGTGAAGCTGCCAGAGGAAGGTCTTCATCCCAGCCATACGTTTATATAGTCCTGAATTCACGCATCCAGGAATTAAAATACAGGAAGGTAATTGCTTATGCTTCTGTAAAATTCTCTTGTTAATTCATGTGGATGTGTGTAGTAGATCTCGTGTAAACAATGCAGAAAAGTCTACATTGTAACGAACAAGGACTTGGTTACTATAAAAACAACATAAATACAGCATCAGTACAGGACAGGTATGTGATGCTCTATTTGTTCATACGAGAGAATCTGATAATCGTATTGACAGGAATAAAGTTTGTAAATTAGTTTCGTGTAAATCAAATATTGATGGAGAAATTATTGAATTCCGTATTAGTGTGAGGAATACTGCTGGTAGAAGTCAACCTTAGTTTAGGTTTATATAAATCAATTAAATCTTTTCACTGTTGAAAAACTGTTAGTAGCCTTAAGACTGTCGGTATAGCACCATAACCCTGCCTGACCGTGTGTGACCATCGAAAAACTGTCACTTGTATGTGACCCTCCCGACACCTCAGTCTACATCTCCCTCTTGATAAATTACTCTACACATGTTGTCTCAACGGCACCCTCCTACTATACAAGGGCATTTTTGAATGGTAAAAACTAAATACTGTTGACCTCAAAATATCTCCTAATATCAAATGCGCCTCAAAATGCCCATAATATTGGTCATTTGAAAAAAAATAATTCTGGGTGGACCAACAAAAAAGCTGGGTGGGCTCGCTGTGCTTGCCATGGTCCCCCACCCAAAACCTCTTGGACCCCTACTTTTGATACTCCTGGATCCGCCCCTGCTGTACTGTACTGTACTGTACTACATCAACATGTGAATTGGAAAGCGCTTGGGCAGTTTTTTTTCCTGCTTTCCAGTGGTTATTTAATTAATATATATACAAAAACACATTAGCTTTTGTATATATATATATATATATATATATATACTATATATATATATATATATATATATATATATATATATATATATATATATATATATATATATATATATATATATATATATATATATATATATATATATATATATATATATATATATATATATATACTATAAACGTTTTCTCTTCACATGTTTACACACAAGTTCCAAAAACAGTATCGTGGCAACACTTGAACCCTTCACTTGACCCTTTAATGAGGATGCTGGTAATGCTGCTGGGTATTAACACAAGTGGTGTGAGGGGAAGTTACGCTCCTGACGGTGTCTTATTGCCGCAGGTGTGTGTGGGGGACAAGGTGTTGGTGGACGTGATGAACAACCTGCCGTCGACAGCGATGACGTTACACTGGCACGGCCTCACCATGGGGGCGTCATTTTCAATGCCCACCGCCCGTTCTACACCCTACATGGACGGTACCCCGGGCGTCACACAGTGCCCCATATCCCCGGGCTCTGGCTTCAGATACGCCTTCTTCGCCTCCAACCCCGGCACTCACTTCTGGCACGCACAGACTGGTAAGTACTGGTAAGACTGGTGACACAAAGAGTAGTAACTCTCCTATGTAGGAAATATTTCGTTGTTTATCTCCACTTCTCCCGGTAAGATACTAATTGGAATGTTTGTGTTGTCCCTTACCATAAACGTTGGTTCCTAGTGCACTGTTAACTCACAGTTTACAACATATATTCCCCTCAGGTTAACAGTTGTAGAAATAAGTGTTTCGCAAATTTTCACGCTGGGCTGCTGTCAATCTTTCACTTAAGTATTTTGCATAATCTCTCTTCTGGTTAATGATTAAACACACATTTATACCTCTTAGTTGTTATCGTAAATTGGTGCGGACAATTAATATGTAGGTGTGTATGTATATTTGTGTAGGTTGTGTACTACGTCACAAATACCACCCTCCCCCCCGCCCCCAGGTCTGGAGCGTGGTGACGGGCTGTTTGGTCCCTTGATCGTCCACCAGCCCACCGAAGTTGACCCCAACCAGTTCCTGGCTGAACATCTCCTGATGGTAAGTGTCATCTCACCTTCGGCTGTGTCCCCGTCAACCAACGTCGCCAGTCATGTATTATGATATGAGGTACACAATAATATTGGATCACCTGAAGATTAGACACCCCAGCTAGGATAGGATGGTTCATTTTCAGGTGAAATTAGTCGGATGTCTAATTTTCAGGTGATCTAATATATATTTATAAACGTATATGAAGTTCACTGTAACGAAGAATGTCAGAGTCAAAGAGGAAAAACCAATGAGGGAGGAGGAGGAGAGACTAAGAATGGTAAGAAGGCACCAAGCGTGGGTAATATCGCCGTTGAAATATTAATGATAATATAATGATACACTAGGTAGCATGAGTGTACAGACTGTGTACGGCAGAGGGAGGGGCGCCAAAGGAATGACAACAGAGAGCATGGATATAAAGGATGGGAAAAAAAGATTGTTGAAAGGGGTGTATGATTCAGAGGTGTGGGTAAGATGGCGAAAAGAAGACCAAGAAGATGGAAGGACGGAATAAACAACGCACTATCCCAAGTGAGTGAGGAAGCAGCAGCAACAGAGTGTGTGTGTGTGTGTGTGTGTGTGTGTGTGTGTGTGTATGTGTGTGTGTAGCGTCCTATGTTTTTTCTTTGAATGATGTGCAGCTGCTGGGTGATGCTGGCTAATGTGAATCAAGACAATTAACCAGATTTGGAGCCTTGTTATGGAAGAAAAAATCCTCAGCCAAACATATATTTTACGGCAGTGACAATGGTGTGATGACAACTACTGATCTAAAAATTTCGTATCTGTATTTGTTCACGTCTTCAGCCATTTTGCTTTAACTGGAAAAAGTTTGAAGAGGCAGAAATACATCATATACAGGTAGCTATATATATATAAGAAGATAAGAACACTCAAACATTACCTCAGTTTCATAGTGGCACACATGCTTAGGTTCCAAGTTATAACTTCAGGAAAGCGGGTGCTGGGAGCGGCCGCCGGAAGGGTGACAACTTGACAAAAGCGGCTTGGCCTGCCATCCTCCCTGGGAATAAGGAAACAAAGACACCCTGAAAAATAATTCTTTACATTTTGAGAGAGAAACACTTATATTCACCTACTCTGAAGGCATTATGATCTAAAATAAATAAATAACCCTGTCACTTATATGTTTACACCGGTCAAGGGGTTCTTACGTTTGTCCTTTACAGTGACAATATCCTGCTGAGAACATCTGTTTTATTCATTTTTTTTTTCATTTGGTGGATGTGGGTCTTGTTCCTGAGGCATCATTTAGACACGAGAAGAAAAAAATACCAATTGATTTTTCATGTCAAAATCCAATCAATGCTGACTAGTTTAGGGCCAGGCAAAGATTTATACGTTCGTTTCTAAGCACCGGTGATTGTATAAAAGTACAATACTATAATGCTTCACAACAGGAGCATCACAATAAGAGGGGCAACACAAAAGAGGCCTTACAACAGGGACAACACAAAAAGGGGGCTCTATAACAGGGGCACCACAAAAGGGGCTCTATAACAGGGGCACCACAAAAGGGGCTCTATAACAGGGGCACCACAAAAGGGGCTCTATAACAGGGGCACCACAAAAGGGGCTCTATAACAGGGGCACCACAAAAGGGGCTCTATAACAGGGACACCAAAAAGGGCTCTATAACAGGGGCACCACAAAAGGGGCTCTATAACAGGGGCACCACAAAAGGGGCTCTATAACAGGGGCACCATAAAAGGGGCTCTATAACAGGGGCACCACAAAAGGGGCTCTATAACAGGGGCACCACAAAAGGGGCTCTATAACAGGGGCACCACAAAAGGGGCTCTATAACAGGAGCACAACAATAGGGGCAACACAACAGAAGCAACAGAGATCGCGTGAATGCTTGAATTATAACAACATTGACCTCACTTGTTGATGTGTGAGGTCTCCCACAAATGAGGACAATGTTGTCATTATAGTACCGTACAAGCATTCACGCGATCTTCACTGAAATCTGTAAGGCAGTGTATGTACATTATTTTTTATTTGGACACCATGTACAGTATATACACCGCACCATCACTGACCACATCACTGTATCACCACTAACCACACAACGCCTCCGTGGTTACAGGTCAACGACTGGTACCACAAGTCGACACAGGTGCAGTACGCCAACAGGTACAGCGGCGCCGGGATAGTCAAGCCTGACGCCATCCTTATCAACGGCAAGGGACCGCAGCAGGTGAGGCTCTGAATGACTCTTTGTTTGGTTATCACTGAGGCTTAAGTGAGAGGTAATGAGGCTCTGAGACGTAGATTGGTTATCACTGAGGCTTAAGTGAGAGGTAATGAGGCTCTGAGACGTAGATTGGTTATCAGTGAAGCTTTATGAGATTCAAGATCGATGAGGTACAAGAAAGGGTAGACTCAGCGGGACTTAAGTTACTGAGGCTCTCAGTAGGTGAATCAATTGTCAATAGGTGAGTCTCCCTGACGTATTGACACCTCTTACGTAGGACCTAGTTATTGTCTCTCACTGAGGAGATTGTCTCCCAGTTCCACTAAGGTCTTATCATCACCCACAGCATGAAGAGGACGCTGCCACTCCCAGGGTACCGTACGCCAGGTTCCTCGTAGAGAACGGTACGTCTCTCTTTCTGTCCGTCTCTCTCATCTTCATCCCCCAATGTTCCCCCGTTCCTTCCTTTCTTCAACCAATAATACCCCTATTTCACTCTCCCGTCCGACCGTCTGTGAACGTTCATCTACCCAACGGGATCTTTAAACAAATAAAAATGTCTCAAATAACGAGACGAAGGCAGACAAAACTGTGTCCCTTTCCGGCTATTTCAAGTATCACCCGGCAGAGTTTATGAAGTTTCTTGAAAATATAAAACACACAAACGTTATCAAAAATATATAATACACGAGACAATTAAACTCCCTAACATACCCCCCCTCCACAGGTACCAGATACCGTCTAAGGATGATCAACGCGGCCATCACCAACTGTCCCGTGACGGTGACGGTGGACAGTCACGACCTCATCATCCTCTCTGCTGATGGAGGCCGTGTCTCACCCGTCAACGCCTCTTCTATCCTCCTACACCCAGGTGAGGCATTATACAGCAGAGATATACAAGTGAGGCACTACACTATACCCAAATTAGTCATTCAACTTCCCCTCACCCTGCACTCCCTTCACCCTAGTTACCTCAACGCTCCCCTCCCTCACCTTAACTCCCTTACACCCTCTCTCACCCTACCTGATCGCCCTCACAGGAGAGCGGTACGACGCCATGTTCACGGCAGAGCAAGACCCTGACAAGGCCGGGGGAACATACTGGGTGAGGGTGACGGGGGGAGGAGAGTGTACCGGCCTCCACCAATACGCCGCCCTCCAGTACCTCCCCTCCAACTACACCCTCTTCCAGCCCTTACCCGAGATCCCGTCCACGCCCGTCAGCATCCCGGAACCTGGCACTGTGAGTTGTGTTCAAACCATCTCAATGTAATATGTTATGAGATGATGATGGTTTAATCCTTTTTATTAGTAGTAGTAGTATTAAACTTATTTATGACGATGATTTAACTCTATGATGACTACGGTTTAACTCTTTGTTGATGATGACGATGATTTAACCATTTGATGACGATTTAACTCTCTGATAAGTACGGTTTAACCCTTCGTTGATGATAACGATGATTTAACCATTTAATGACGATGGATTAACTCTTTGGTGACTGATTTAACCCTTTGATGCCCATGGTTTAACCCTTAGTTGATGATGACGATGATTTAACCATTTAATGACGATGGTTTTAACCTTCTTGTCCTCCTCATGGAAATTAATACATCATACTCATACTTCCTATACTAAAATTCTAACCCAACCAAACCAACCCTGTCGTGACACTCAGTATGCCATCACTGTTCAGGTGGAGTTCAGCGGGAGGTGTGGCAGCCCTGGTCAGAGGTGTGTGAGTAGCCTGGTTGCCTCCCTCCCCCTCCCTGACAAACTCAAGACCAACCGAGGTAATTTGACCTTCTACCTCGCCTTTTCTACTAACATGATCCACAACCAGAACTTCTACTCCCTCGTCTACTACAATATCTACCAAGGTGAGGATTTTTTCCAATGCCTTTTGTTGATTTAAGGGGTAATTTATTTCACCTGATGAGTAAACACCCTAACATTAACATAAAGTAACCTAAACTACTGTAACCTAACCTATCCCCCCCTAAGTAGCGTTAAGGTTCTTAATCGCCGGGTGAAATAGGCTGGTGTGGGGGGGGGGGTTGCTAATCTACACGTGAGCCTTTTTACCTCATAGAGTTTCGGCATTTCGTAGTCCGAGATAATATAGCTATGAAAATCAATTGTCGGAAGAAGTTCGAGTTTTTCCATTTTATGCCAGTGTGTATACATGTCTAAGTGGCTCAACCCAACTCACCCCACAACAGAATGAAGTATTTGCAAAGGTTTAGTTAGTTAGCTTAGCTTAGGTTAGGTTAGGTTATAATACTCCTCATTACCTAAGTTTTCCTCACCACTCCAGATAGCCGGGAGAAGCAGGTGTGGACGCCGCAGATCAACCACCTCACCTTCAGGGCGCCTCCCAAGCCTCTCCTGGTGAACCGTCGACCACTTAAGTCAGAGAATTGTAGCGGTGAAGGTGTGCGTCACGGCCAGTGTAACGCCGACTACTGCGAGTGTATCCACAACCTTAACATCCCCATGGGTAGCATCGTCGACCTTGTCCTCATTGGTGAAGGTGGGTCATTGACGGAGGTGGGTCACTGGCGAGGTGGGTCACTGGTGAGGTGGGTCCCTGATGAGGTGGGTCACTGATGAGGTGGGTCACCGGTGAGGTGGGTCACTGAAGGAGGTGGGTCATTTGTAAGGTGGGTTATTTGTGAGGTGGGTCAATTGTGAGGTGAGTCACTAATGACTAAGAGGTGGATCACTGCATTGGGATGATGTTCCAGGGTAAAGGTCATACCCATTAAATCTGCATACAAAATTAATAGCATTGAAAACAACAGGTGGCCCCGAAGAACTTTTATAATTTCGATCTGGCCTCTTACCTCATAGCTTTCCCCACCCTTGCTTTACACTATACAACACTATACTGTATGTCATTAACTCCTATGTAAAACAAGTCCCTTTTCTCCCGCAGGCCCAGCCAATGGCACGTCTTATCCCGTCCATCTCCACGGCTACAAGTTCTGGGTCCTGAGTCAAGTAGAAGCTAGTCAGGTACCCAACACCACCAACCCTCTGCCTGTCCTCACCGAAAACTCCACCTTAATCACGGCTGACCTGGACGACACTTGGGTGAATCCCAACCTCTCCCGGGAGAAGATGATGCAGCTGGATCGAGAGGGGAAGCTGGTGAGGGACCTGGAGAGCCCTGTTATGAAGGACTCGGTGGCCATCCCGCCAGGAGGCTACACCATCGTCAGAATTGTCGCGGATAACCCAGGTATGATGCTCTTCCTTCGTCCTTGTTATTGACGCTCAGGTGCTGTAACTTAACCTCTTGAGTATAAAGACTTAACCCCTTGGTGGTATTAGCTTAACCCTTGACGACAGTGACAAACCCCTGGGTACAATGACAACTCTTTCGGTGTATTGACTTAACCTCCCGAGTGCCCTGATTTAAACTCTTGTGTATTGACTTAACCCCTTGAATATGATGACTTAATCCCTTGGAGTAAATGTTTTCAGGTATATGAAGCTTAGTGTACTGACAAATCTGTATTGTATAACATGTGTTGTCCCTCAGGTGTGTGGATGTTGGAGAGCCAGGTGGTGGCAGACGCCCTGGTGGGGGCGTCGCTGGTGTTACAGGTGGGCGGCAGGAACGACGTGCCCAAGTCTCCCCCACCCGACTTCCCCACCTGCTGAGCCTCACCTACAGGAGGAATAAAGGGAGAAGTGCTCACTCACCTCCCCACAGCACTAACTATAACACTCCCTCATAACACCTATACCCCCTCACAACACTCCCAACACCACACACAACTAACTCAACACAGACTACAACACGCCCTTACAACACCCTAACAACACTCAGCATCACACACAACACCACCCACAATACAGCACACAACACATCATCCACCACACACGAGCAACAACTAACTCCTTAACCAAGACTCTACTCCCTGTCATTACTATACACCATCAAGTAGCTACTCCCGAACCCTGCAAATACTCATCGTTTTATATGATAATCATTTGAGTTTTATGAAATGATTAGAATTCAATTATGTGAGATAATCTTAAGCTCACTTTAGCCTCAAGTTAATATTAGTGTCCTTAGGGTCTAGTTTAGTTCGTTAATGAAACTGTTTGCGATGTCTTCATTGTTGACGTTCTTGTAAGCGTCGTCGGAAACTGACCAAGAATCCGGCTTCAGCGAGATGTGGTGAATGATTTACCTATAGTCTTAACCTGATTTACTCACCAAGTTTATATTTGTTTGATGTTTCTACGAGTATAACTATTAGTATCTAACATAGGGAAACCTTATATCTTAACTAACAACTGCCAGTTTTAGTATGTTTCCATGTAAAGTCTTCCAGATATTATGGGGTATTATATAAGATTAATTTTTCCGGCATGTTATTGATGTGAGTTAGTATCCAGTGCCACCAGAGGGCGAGTGTGGTGGTGGTGGTGGTGGGAGGAGACTGGCGGAGTGTAGTGGTGGGAGGAGGAAGGGGGAGTGTGGTGGTGGAGGGAAGAGTGGCATCCCCATACCTCCATATCTCCACTCCTTAGACACCTGCATTTCATAGCAGCTACACTTACACTTTTAACATTTACCATTCATATACACCTGCCTTCAACACACCTCACGTCTAACTTTCCCCTTCCCACCCTGTACACCTACACCAGCTACTATTCCCCCCTCACCCACACCACACACACCGAGCCAACTCACTCTGATAACAAGGGACCGAGTTAAGAACATTGTCGGTGTAGGGCTTCAGGTAGACTGTGTTATGATAGAAAACCAGAAGACGTCAGAAGACCGGCCCCGTGTATAACAGGGTAGGACAATGTTACTCTGGTCTGTCTAAGGGTAATTAAATAATAACATAATATATACAGGGAAATTCTAGAGTAACATGATATATATACAGGGTAATTCTAGAGTAACATGATATATATACAGGGTAATTCTAGAGTAACATGATATATATACAGGGTAATTCTAAAGTAACATGATATATATACAGGGTAATTCTAGAGTAACATGATGTATACAGGGCAATCCTAGAGTAACATGATATATACAGGGCAATTCTAGAGTAACATGATATATACAGGGCAATTCTAGAGTAACATGATGTATACAGGGCAATTCTCGAGTAACATGATATATCCAGGATACTTCTAGAGTAACATGATATATACAGGGCAATTCTAGAGTAACATGATATATCCAGGATACTTCTAGAGTAACATACAGACATACGGGAGAACTCTAGAGCATAAGTAATTTTTTTGTAAGCGACGTTAACATTAACAGTGAGACATTCACAGATTACGAAACCAATTCAATGATTTGTCTTCATATGTGTGTGTGTGTGTGTGTGTGTGTGTGTGTGTGTGTGTGTGTGTGTGTGTGTGTTAACAGGTTTTACGGTAAACTTCTTCAAATAATTATTATCTTCTCAGTTTTTTTTTGCGTTTTTTTTTTATGAAGACCAACAACAACAACAAGAACTTGGGTCTTTAATTGACCTTTAAAACAAAACAATAATTAACTCTTGTCTAACCTGCTATATATTGAATAGTGTTTAAGTTTTGTCTATCCTAGGATATATAATATTGTTTTGTCTTACTTACTCTAATACTCTTGTCTATCCTAGGATGTATAAATGAACGGTGTATAAGTCCTATTTTTTTTAGATTTCTTTGTCTATCCTGGTATATATAATAATGTTTTTTCTTTATAATTATAGTCTCACTTCTATATACCCTTCTCCATCCTGCGAAAAATAATACTGTTCTATTTTTACACAAGATAAATTGTGAGTCAATATATACATAAAAATAAAATAATATAAAAACATGTGATTTTCATTTGCCTGTGTCGCCATGACAAGTGTTATTATCCCTACCTTAAGTGAAGAATGATTTCCTGCTATATATTCTGAGTCTTAGCATAAATTAACGACTGATAACATAACGCTTCAATACTGATTACGACGCTTAAACACATATATTGGTTAAATGCTGATTCACAACGCTTAAACACCGATTACGACGCTTAAACGCTGATTACGACGCTTCAACACTGATACACAACTCAGTCACGAATTTGCACAGGTGTCGAAATGCCCGAGAGACGCAGGTGTAACTTAACTAACCCAACCAACTTACACAACTTAATTAGAAAACAAATGCCCTTTGGATTACGATATTCTGGAGTCACCTGAAGATTAGCACCCAAGCTTCTTTCTCCTGAAGAATAATTAACTACCCTAACGCTACCTGGTGGAGAGGGTTGGGTTAGGTTTGGTTAGGTTTGGTCAGGTAAGTTGGGCTTCACCACACACACACACTGAACACACTCTGTAACGTTGAGGGAACTCTTCTATGTTAAGGGTTTAGGACACAGGAAGGTTGTGTGTTTATTGAGCAGAGAATATAATCACAGTATGTCTTATGGTACGATATGAACACCATGTTAGAGTAGGTATATATATTACGATATATGTATTTAAACAACCGGTATACAGTATATTATAATATATTCTGGATTCGGTTTTTGAAAATAAGCAATTATAGATACAGTGTCGGTCACCAAAAAGGACGGTGTTACATATGAATAAACATAAATATATACCGGTACGAACATGTTTATGAGATCAGTCGCTTAAAAACCTACGTTAATGAAATTATAAAACAGAGAATCATGAACACTCAGCGGTAGCCTTAGACAGCAGGGCTACCTACGGGAGGATGAGGGTGCTGGCGGTGAGGTGGACTCTGCCTGCTGTCTTTTGTATATAGTTATCCTCAACCACTGTCATGTTCTGTGAAAAACTCATGGATTCCTGGGGTGCTGTCCTCCAGTACCTAAAATGCTGTGAGTACTCTGTATTAGTCCATTTGATTTAAGGGTAACAAGTAGCTTTGGGTACCTCCTATAATTAATGGTCACAGGCGGCAGCTTTGTCCACACGGATGTCATTATACGGTCAATGAAAGTGGGTCCCATAGGCCTGACGGACCGTTAAGGACAGTGTAGAAACACTGCACTGTGTACCAACCCTTACTTTATTTCGTTAGTTATTGCACTAATTTTTCTGGTATTAAAGGAAAATGGTTAAACATATACTTTCTTTCTGCAGTTATGTGAATGTTTTTGCTGTGTTTAGTGACTCGTATTGTTTTTCTTATGAGCGATTTGTTTTCTAGTTTGCATAGCGTGGTGAATGGCGTGATCTTCTCACCATTGTTCTGTTGTTAATAATTCTTCGATACTGATAATCACGTACGGACGGGAATTTTGCTCTCACTGGCCTTCGTTCACTCACACTGTTTTCCCAGTAGTATAAACAAGCGTTAAATCGCTTATGACGAATTAAGCTCGTTAACATTTCTTCCCAGTATAAATTGGGGATGATTCGTTTAGATTTTCCTAGTTTATCCCAGGGTTTCATCATACACTACACAGTAGTTGGTTCACAGCACCTTCCCAGCATTAATGTAGTTTGATCATTATACTCTTCCTGTCTTCAGTTCTGTCACAGTAAACGTGCGTTACCTTAATATACCCTTACCTGTACATTTTCTGTTAGGACAGGAGGTAGTCACAATAGTTCTTTACATTCTATTAATTTTACATAACTTCTGTAATATATTTTTCATAAATTTTAATTTTCATGTAATTGTTTTTAAAAATATTTTCGTAACTGTGTTGTTATATCCAGATCATCAATGGCGTTTATGATGAATGATACACCGCCCTGTACCTGTGAGTAGTATTGGTGACATATTTTTTCCCAGAATGTCCTGAAGACGGTGATTGGTTCACTGAACACCTAATACCATAATGATACGTGGAAGCTAACACCTATGTCTGCCCTGCCTGCTATAATGCTATTTATGTAGTGTGTGTGTGTGTGTGTAAAGCTAGACAGAGAAACAATTAATCAAATAAATTAATACATATGAATAGCTAGACACACGAACAGGAGAGTCACGTACGTAAACAAATTGATAAACAATGCCAAAAGAAAAAATATTGACTAATGGACCAATTAGCAAACAGGTATTAATAGAATGTAAAGCCCCAGTCAGCCCCCAGGTGTTGCATCAGCAGCCCCCAGGTGTTGCATCAGTCAGCCTCCAGGTGTTGCATCAGCAGCTCCAAGGTGTTGCACCAGTCAGCCCCCAGGTGTTGCACCAGTCACCCCCCAGGTGTTGCATCAGTCAGCCTCCAGGTGTTGCACCAGTCAGCCTCTAGGTGTTGCATCAGTCAGCCTCCACGTGTTGCATCAGTCAGCCTCCAGGTGATGCATCAGTCAGCTCCCGGGTGTTGCATTAGTCAGCTCCAGGTGTTGCACCAGTCAGCCCCCAGGTGTTCCATCAGTCAGCCTCCAGGTGTTGCATCAGTCAGCCCCTAGGTGTTGCATCAGTCAGCCTCCAGGTGATGCATCAGTCAGCTTCCAGGTGATGCATCAGTCAGTCCCCAGGCGTTGCATCAGTCAGCCCCAGGTGTTGCATCAGTCAGCCTCCAGGTGATGCATCAGTCAGCTTCCAGGTGTTGCATCAGTCTTCCAGGTGATGCATCAGTCAGCTTCAGGTGTTGCATCAGTCAGCTTCCAGGGTGATGCATCAGTCAGCCTCCAGGTGATGCATCGGGTGTTGCATCAGTCAGCTTCCAGGTGTTGCATCAGTCAGCTTCCGGTGATGCATCAGTCAGCTTCAGGTGATGCATCAGTCAGCCTCCAGGTGATGCATCAGTCAGTCCCCAGGCGTTGCATCAGTCAGCCCCAGGTGAGCCTCCAGGTGATGCATCAGTCAGCTTCAGGTGATGCATCAGTCAGCCTCAGGTGATGCATCAGTCAGCCCATCCAGGGTATTGCATCAGTCAGCCTCCAGGTGATGCATCAGTTAGCTTCCAGGTGTCAGTTGAGCATCAGCACCAGTTGATGCATCAGTCAGCTTCCAGGTGATGCATCCAGTGATGCATAGACTCCAGATGTTACACCAGTCAGCCCAGCTTCCAGGTGATGCATCAGTCAGCCTCCAGGTGATGCATCAGTTAGCTTCCAGGTGTTGCATCAGTCAGCTTCCAGTTGATGCATCAGTCAGCTTCAGGTGATGCATCAGTCAGCCTCCAGGTGATGCATAGACTCCAGATGTTACACCAGTCAGCCCCAGGTGATGCATCAGTCAGCCTCCAGGTGATGCATCAGTCAGCTTCAGGTGATGCATAGACTCCAGATGTTACACCAGTCAGCCTCCAGGTGATGCATCAGTTAGCTTCCAGGTGTCATCAGCAGTTGCATCAGTCAGCTTCCAGGTGATGCATCAGTCAGCCTCCAGGTGATGCATAGACTCCAGATGTTACACCAGTCAGCCCCAGGTGATGCATCAGTCAGCCTCCAGTGATGCATCAGTCAGTCAGCCTCCAGGTGATGCATCAGTCAGCCTTCAGGTGTTGCATTAGTCAGCCTCCAGGTGATGCATCAGTCAGCCTCCAGGTGATGCATCAGTCAGCCTTCCATTAGTCAGCCTCCAGGTGATGCATCAGTCAGCCTCCAGGTGATGCATCAGTCAGCCTCCTGGTGATGCATCAATCAGACTCCAGATGTTACACCAGTCAGCCCCCAGGTGTTGCATCAGTCAGCTTCCAGGTGATGCATCTGTCAGCCTCCAGATGTTACACCAGTCAGCCCCCAGGTGTTGCATCAGTCAGCCTCCGGGTGATGCATCAGTCAGCTCCCTGTGAGTAAGTGGCCAATATCCTTGCCTTCCTGTCTACGCCTTCCCTCACCTCCCTGAGCGTGTATCCCCAAGTTTATTGTGCCTCCTTACCTCGGCGGAGCAGGGGAGGGAGTGAGTGTGCGGGTATATAAGGTGGGTTATGGCGGAGGAAGTTCAGTTGAGTGGTGACGGACGGACGGACGGCTGGCTGGTAGGGGGGCGGTCATGTGGACGACGGCACCAGCATTACAACCCCCTCTCCTCCTCCTCCTCCTCCCCCACCTCCTCCTTCTGCAACTCCTTCTTGGTGAAGCTGTCGCCTCCACGGCTCCTCAACATTCCTCCCCTCCAGGTAACTCTCACAGTGTGCACCTCTCGCCCGCGTCCTCCTGACGCGCACACACACACGCACACACACATTATAAACCTACTGCTGTACACTCACTCTTCCAAACATCATTAAATGGTAAGTATAGTCTCAATATTTTTATTACGAATAGAATTGTTAATTATTTGAACATATTCTTCCTAAAGCACTATTTTGGGGAGGGGAGGGGTCTGGAGGTGGGGGTTTAAAGGGGAGGAGGCCAGGAGGTGGGGGTTTAAAGGGGAGGAGGCCAGGAGGTGGGGGGCTTAGGGAGGGGGAGGGTAAAGACGGAACCCAGACCACGGTAGTGGCGGTAATAAATTCACAAGTACTGAGCCATGTATTCACAAAGTAAGGTCAATATATCTATAAAAATCAAATTAAATTAATATCGTGATATAAATAGTCGCTCAAATGTCTTATATAGTGTCAGGATAAATCGCTCCAAAAATTTATAGAATCGCTTACAAAAATTCATTGTCAGAATATTGCTAAAAAATATCGCCAGTAAAATCGATCAAAAACTTTATATAATGTCAGGATAATTGCTCAAAAATAATATCAGAAATAATCGCTTAAATGTCTTGTATCATGTCAGGATTAGTTGCTCAAATGCCGTCTATCCCGTCAGGTAAAAATCCCTCAAATGCCTTCCTTATATGATGTCAGAATTAATCCCATATCGAGTCAAATGTTTTATATCATGTCAGACACAATGGCCTAAATGCCTGTGTTACAATTTCAGTGGCCACAGAAACTGACATGATCATACACACATCCCTTTAACGTGGAAATGTCAGGTCACTCACTATGGGGATGTTAGCTACGTGTTAGAGGTCAGCAAGGTGTTAGGAGGTGTCAGAGGGATGTCAGTAAGGTGTCAGAGGGATGTCAGTAAGGTGTCAGGGGGATGTCAGCTAGGTGTCAATAAGGTGTCAGGGGGATGTCAGTTAGGTGTCAATAAGGTGTCAGGGGGATGTCAGCTAGGTGTCAGGGAGTGTCAATGAAGTGACGAGGGTGAAGTACTTGTCAGGGGTTGTCACGGGGAACTTTCAGAGGCTGTCAGGGGGAAGGTGTCATGGTCTGTTAGGGGGAGCTGTCAGGGGCTGTCATGGCGAAAGCGTCATGGTCTGTCGGGGGCTGTCGGGGGGAAGATGTCATGGTCTGTCAGGGGAAGCTGTCGGGAAGCTGTCGGGAGCTGTCAAGGGGGAGCTGTCAGAGGAAAGCGTCAAGTGGTCTCCTACTTACAAACTCATACGAATTCTTGTTTTGCTCACATTCTCATAATATTCGTTCTAATACTCACACTCATAATCATTTCTCTGCTACTACTCACAAATTCATAATAATCCTTTTATAACTAACAAACTCGTAAGAACACTTTCTATTGCTACTCACACAAGCTCGTAAAAATCCTTCTAATACTCACAAACTAATTCATCTATTGCTCACAAACTCATAAATCACACGCAATCTATTCTACTGCTACTCATAAACTCAAACTGATCTCCATTACTGCTCAGAAACTACTTATTTCAATACTCACAAACTCATTCTACTGCTCACAACTTCTCACAATAAACCACCTGACTGTTTCTCATAAGACACTCATAATCACTAATACTCACACCACACACTCACAAAATATACAACACTGATCAGTAAATGTCTGTCTGTCTGATCATTTAACTGTATGTATTTCTGTCAATCACCCCGCCTGCCTGTCTGCATATCAGTCCGTCTATTCGAATGTTATTCCATATGCCTGTTTGTCTGTCTGTCTGTCTGTCTGTCTGCCTGTCTATCTGTCTGCCTGCATGTTTGTCTTTCTCTGCACGTTTCGTTCGAGAGATATTTGCCGTGGGCTCTGTGACCGGAGAACGAAAGTTAATTGGTGGAAAATGTAGCCTGGTGAATTTTATGATTGGTGAAGGTGGGTTGTTCCTTGATGCTGATTGGTCGAGAACTTTATGGAGACTGAACAGAAGTTATGGTTCCTCTGTGATGATTGGACGAGTGCTGTGTGTCTTTATACGGTGACTGGACGAAATTTAAAGTTTGTTAACACGCCACACACTTGATTCAGAAAAGAGAGAGAGAAAGAAAAAAGAGAGAGTGACACAGAGACAAAGTGAAAGAGAGGAGAGGGTCGTCGTGTTAACTAATTCCAATATTAAAATTAATTTTATTGGAATTAGTTAATTTTACCGCCGCACCACCCCGTTAAGTACTGTATTGCGGTGTCCCTCAGGGCTCATTTTTTTTAAATTCGGGTTGAAACACGACGACCCTCTTCAACGGAAAGTGTTTAAAACTCAGGGCGTAACTGACTTAAAAAATGAGACATAGAGAAAGAAAGAAAGAAAGAAAGAAAGAAAGAAAGAAGGAAAGAAAGAAAGAAAGACCACCTTGATGAGAGAGCACACCTGTACACTAAATCTAGGTTATACTGTAGATCACTATGTATCTTTCTAACGTCAACGGGACCAAGTGAATATTAACCCCACCATTATTTCTCCATAAAATTAACCTAACCTATCCCTAATGCTAACTAAATTTAGCCTAACCTAAACTCGCCTAAACTAACATAATGTAACCTAACGCTCACTTAACCTCATCTAACCTAACGCTAACTTAACTTAACCGAGCTTACCCTAATTTAATAAAATCTAACATAACCTATAAACAACGCTAACCTCACCTTACCTAAACTAGCATAACGTAACCTAACCAAAACCTAACCAAACCCAACATTTTCTAATTTAACCTAACCTCACCTAACCTAACATTAACCCAAACTTCGCAGGTAACGTTTGAATATTTAATTAATCATCAGGTGAAATAAGCTTGGAGGCGGAGAAGGAAAGGGGGCGGAGGGCGGGTGCTGCTTCTCTCAAAACTCTCCCACCCCCCACCCCTCACCCCCATCCCTCTCCTCTCCCTTCCCGGAACACTCCCTACCCCACCCACATCCATCCCTCCTCCCTGTAGCCATCCATCCTGCCCAGTTGATCGCCCACCATACCCTGCCTGACCCCACCCACACCTCTTCCTACCCCGGGATCTGTCCACTCTACCTCTCTCTATCTCTCTCTTTCCCTTCCCTTCCCATCCCCTCCCCTCCCTCTGGATCGGGTCTATTAGGACTAGGGACCACTTGGGACTATGATTTATTGGGACTAGGGAGTTAATAGGGTTAAGGACTTAATAGGACTGGAGACATAACACTACTGGGGACATAATAGGACTGGGGGCCACTTTGTACATCATAGGACTGGGGACCACTTTGTACTTATTGCGACTCTGGAGACCATCTGACCTCCACCCGTTTTATTGCGTCATCAAACTTAATTTTTACTCCCACAGTTTGTTAGTGATGCAGTGTGAGTGCTTGTATGTACTGACTCTCCTTCTGTCTGTCTCTTTGTTTGTCTGTGTATGTGTGTCTTCATGTCTCTGTGTCTGTCTGTCTGTCATCTTGTCTATGTAATATACTGTTGGTGGAGGTTGTCAGGAGAGTACCGTAGTGCGGTGTAGTTTAGATTAACCTGAACATAGAGGAATGGAAGGTAGAACAATCACTGATATACCACAGAGTGTAACCTATGACCCCTGAGTGGTAACAGTTGATACACAAGCCTTATCTCACTCCCTTGATGTGTGGGGCTTGTCGACAAGCATTTTAAGGTAAATGTGAGCTAATACTCGTATGGGTGTCTTTGGTAATGTATAACCTTTACCTCCCTGAAACTTTAACTGGGAAAATGATTTTTTTTCTGCGTGATAATGAGAGAATCATTATTTCATAAGTTGTTCCCGTTAGAGGGAGTCGTGCCCGGAGAACACCCTGGCGGCCGTCACCAGCTGGGTGGGAAATCTAGGAAACCTACATGACGCGGTGGCTGTTTTTTCTTAACGGAAATATGGTAGAAAACTTGTTTTGTAGACTATACAGACCACAGCTTATCTGGTGATTCAACACGAACTTTTTCCATCTCTCTAAACTGTCTCGAAAGGCGAGACAGATGGTTGAATGTCATCCATCATCTGTCTGGGAAGTGGATTCCCATCACTTAGTGGCTGAGAGTCACCTCAGTGTAACAATATGACAAGAATATACAGATGGAAGGTTGTACGGTATAATGCACTATATATTATATACCTTGTTTTCATATAAACTCTTCTTGCAATTTGTCTCACTAGCAGCAAGTTATGACTGTCAACACGTAATGATTCCACGTTCATTCTGGAGCTGCGAATAGTAATGTGGATATAGTTTAAGGTGGGTGTATATCCTTCTCACTTTTAAGCTGCCGGTGACTTAAGGGACGACCACTATTCAAGGTAAGACGTAGTTCTCTAGTTGTCTAAAAAAATTAAGTCGAGGAGATTGTAGACAGAGGAACGTGGCGGAGACGGATTCGTAAAGCAGTTTCCTAACATTTGGAAATGCCTAAAGAATATTGAAATGTTTACCTATTGTTCATTTCTATGTAGTAAATAATGACATTATCCCCAGCTAGTAAACTTTTCATTATCAGTCTAAGTTTGTTTGTGCTTCATCCTGTTGAGGGAGAACCCGCTAAAGCACCATCCTACCGTCTAGTATTCCCTATTTATCCTTCGGCTTCACAACTACTGAGACACCGTATTCAGTGACTGTGTAGTTCTGTCACCCGTCTAGGAGTTAGGAATGCACGAGAAAACATCCTACACGACGTACTGAATATAAATCCGCCTGACATAGGAACACATCAGGAGCAGAATGTATCGTCTACTGAATACTCCTTTCTACACATGGTGACGCAAGAACACACCTAACTGCATGTCTGTCTTAGCTAAACTGAGGCTCTAACTTAACTGGATTTTCCTTTAGGCAGAGAACAACATTAACGTAAGGAACCTTGGTGAATCCCCCCACAAAGGTACAGACTGCGTGTTGACAGCTGGTGATCCGAAGTGTCAGTAACAGAGAATAGTGGATTAAATTAAGCCCTATCCCCACAGTAATAATGATAGGTATCTGATAAAATAGTCAGGGTGGATCATGTTATGTTATCTTCAGGTGAATTAAGTTGGGGGTATCTAATCCTCAGGTAAAATAAGCTAGGGTGTCTAATCCTCAGGTGAATAAACTAAGGTGTTTAATCCTTGCGTGAAATAAGCTGGGCTGTCTAATCCTCAGGTGAAATAAGCTAGGGTGTCTAATCCTCAGGTGAAATAAGCTAGGGTGTCTAATCCTCAGGTGAATAAGTTAAGGTGTCTAATCCATGCATGAAATAAGCTGGGGCGTCTAATCCTTGGGTGAAATAAGCTTAGGTGTTTAATCTTCAGGTGAAATAAGCTGCGCTGTCTAATCCTCAGGTGAAATAAACTGGGGTGTATAATCCTCAGGTGATCCATTCCCGATTTAACACACAGCTGTACAGTAATCAAGCTGTGTTTACAAACATTACGTCATAGTAGGGTAGGACTTCACCATTACCCAGATTACACGGGTCTGTGACCGGTAGTGGCAGCTCTGATTTTTCCTCCCCCGAGCGTATAGTGAAGCTCAATACGGATTTACTTCTTTAAAAACACGCATTAAAATTTGTAAATAAAGTATCGTGGTTCTGGGCCGTTTTCCTTCTAGTAAATAAAATGACTATATTTATCTACTAATTATTTACTACTCTATTACTTTATTCCTATTTTATTTTCCATTTAATTTCCATATAACGTTAGGGTGTTTAATCATCATGTGACATAAGCTAGGGTGCCTAATCTTCAGGTCATGTCAGTTTTGGGTTGTGCTTCGTCAGCAAAACCCCCGTCCTTCCTGACTTGGCTGATGTGTTTCTTTTTTGGGGGGCGTGAGGAATGTTTTGTGCTCAGGTTCGTCTTCCAATTAATTATTTTGGTTTGTAAGTAACATCAAAGATAATCCCAGGTGGATCTTATGTCTTGTTTCTTTCATCAATCTCCTCCTTTATTGTCTTCTTTCCTCTCTTTCCTTATTTCTTCTCCTGGGTCTTTTTCGTTTTTTTTTTCTCTCTCTCTCCACCTTTCTTGCTTCTTCTGTTTCTTCTCACTTCTCTCGATACCAGTATTTATTCTCATGTTTCTTATCTATTTTCTCCCTTCTTTCTTCTCTTCTTTTCTCTCTTTCTTCCAATCTTTCCTCTCCTGGTTTTTCCTACCATTCTCTTCCTGGTGTTTTTTTCTGCTTTCTTTTCGTTTCTTGTTCTTGTCCTGCTGGACCAAAATGGCAGTTTAACAAGCATTGAACAGCCTTAACATGCGACGTTGTTGTTTTTGTTTCCTTATTACAATATTGGGATTGTTTCTCTTCTTTACATGAAGTGTATACTGAAGGTGCTTTATCTCCTGCAGAATCGTGGTGGACGGCATTAGAGATCCCGGTGCCTCACCCACCATGGCCACGCCCTCTGCCCACGGTATCCCATCTTCCTGACTACGAACATGACGCCGTCGGGGGCTCTGCAGCTGACTTGGACTACCCTGAATACCTGGTGAGTTCCCAGAACCTGGTGAGACCTGTGGAAACTTTGGGCAGTGGTGACGTGGTAGGCGATGAGGACTGGGAAGGTTCTGGGGATGCAGTGAGCACAGGCGATCTGGTGATCCCTGGAGACCTGGTGAACTCAGGGGATCTATTGAGCACCGGTAGCATGGCGAACACTGGTAACCTGTTGCATCCTGGTGACCTGGTGATCTCCGGTGATCTAGTTAGTCGAAAAGACCTGGTGAACACTGACGACTTGATAATTCAAGGGGATCTCGTGCGCCCTGGAGACCTGGTGAGCACGGAAGGCCTCAACACCGGACGCACCAAGAGGAAGGTCATCTCAAGTGGCGGCCACTACATCGTGTGGAGCAGGTCGGGCACTTCACCCTGGAGCTCCACCGGCTACGAGAGCGTCGGCGAATACAAGATCAACAACAATCGCGAGCACGGCTGGACCTCTCGCGGCAAGATCGGTGACGGCGGCTCCAGGAGGACAACCTATACGGCACCAACCCAGCAACCCAAGATTGAACGACGCAAGTCCAGGAAGAAGCTCACCAAGTCGTTCAAGAGGGAGATCGCGCAGTATGCCATGGTTTATGGCGCCAAAAAGGCGGCCCTCCACTACGAGCAGACCATTGGCAGGAGACTCAGAGACAGGGTCGTCAACAAGTTCGTCCAACGATACCAGGAGAGACGAAAAAGAAAAAGAAGAAGATTAAGGAGACGACTGAGTGGTCAAACATGAAGACTGTAAGGTGTTGCATGCCCCAAATGACTTTCAGAGGTCCTGCGTAACCTCCACTTTATCTTTACCTCAGCCAGGTTGTGTGAAGGGTGAGTGACCTGAGCCTCTGCCCTCTCCCTCGCCCACATTGGGTAGCTACATTTACTACACCAGGAACTACTTTATTTTTTCTAGGTTATAAAATGTTAATAAAATAAATATACCATAAAATTGTTTCCTTTTCCTAAAGGTGTTAGAAAGACTTCACCTGGCATAGTATAAAACAAAATACTTTTTCTCTTAGGTGCTCCACCTGACAGCATTACTAAGCATAGATCACTAAGACTTCATTTCTATAACAGAATTTTTTTAGAAATTCACAAATAATTTTCACGTGTTTGTGTAGTCCAGCATGATGAGTGTGTCTTGAGACCGTCCGGCTGTGGCAGGTAAGAGTGTGTCACATTCCTACCATTGCCAGACACAAACCAACCTAACCTAACCTAACCTAACCAAACCTAACCTTCCCAAATCTAACCTAAATCAGTTGAAGTTAACCTAATCAATCAGACCTAACATAATCTACCATGCCTAATCTAACTTAAACTAATCAACCTAACTTAACCTAGATTACTCTGTGTAATGTATTGTTGTCATGATAACCGTCGAGAATTAATGTTTGGAAACTAAATATCACGTGATCTAGCCTAACCTAACCTAACCCAATCTAATGTAACCTAACCTTACCCAACCTAATCTAACCGAACATAACCTACCTTATCCTAACCTAATCTAACCTAACCTAACTTAACCCTCCTAGGTAGAGTTAGGATGTTTAATTTTAAGGTGAGATAAACTGGGTAGGGGCTAATCTTAAGGTGATCAGAAGTTATTGTCATTACGGTATCTCTCTCTCTCTCTCTCTCTCTCTCTCAACTCTACTCTTTGCATTAGCTCGCCTTCCCCCTCCAGAATTCACCCCTTCTTTCCTCCATATCCTCCTCCCTCTCCCTTTCCTTCACCCCCCTTCCTTGTTTCCTCACTACCCCTCCTTCACTCTCTCCAACTCCCCTAATTTTCTCCTCACTCCCCCGCTTTCCTTCCTCCTTCCCTCCTCCCTCACACCCCTTCCTCCTTCCCTCCTCCCTCACACCCCTTCCTTCATCCCTCCTCCCTCACACCCCTTCCTTCATCCCTCCTCCCTCACACCCCTTCCTTCCTCCCTCCTCCCTCACACCCCTTCCTTCCTCCCTCCTCCATCACTCCCCTTTCCTCCTCCCTGGAGCCTCACCTTCGCCTCCCTCAATTGCCTCATCCTCCTTCATGTGGGAAACTGTCTCCTGGTGGTAGTAGTGGTGATAGTAGTTGTTGCTATGGTGGTGGTAGTAGTTGTTGCTATGGTGGTGGTAGTGGTGGTTATAGTAGTGGTAGTAGGAAATGGATAAAGTACTCGCCGCCTGTTTCATAGGTCGGTGGTTCGATCCCCGGGCACTCACAGGTCACCCAGCAATAAATGGGGTCTACGGACAAAACCCCAACTCATTATATGAAAAGTGGCCAAACCCCAGTCTCATATATAAAATATAAAATAAAACACTTTCATGCTTGCAAACACACATTATATATACATTTTATTTTTCACACTCCACAACCCACAAAACCCTTTTACAACTGTAGGGAATTGACACTTACAGTATACAATATATGCTCCACTTATGAGAATATATCAGTTTATTTGAATCGAATACATAAACCAACACCCTGCAGGAACTCCTCCACACTCTTAGATTCTGACTGGCGGTCAGAACACAGGTTCACAAGGTCCGCTGTCGGAGCCACTGTCATGAATCAAGAACTGCTTTGGATCATCACCACCTGTTGTAGACCACTCTCCACCAAGCTGGAGCTCTGCAAGAGAGGCTGGCTCTTTGGGTTGAACACCACGTTTCATCCGTCTGATGTCACGGCGTTTGGTTTCTGGCATCCCAGCTCTGACACGGACTTCATCAGTGGCTCCCAGCATGGCCTCAGCGTGGATCTGGGTGGTCCTGGTCCGAGAGTCATTCTTGATTTGTTGACGTAGGAAAAATTAAATATTATAATGAACTTCTTTATACGTGACTGGGGTTTTGTCCACTTTTCATATAATGAGTTGGGGTTTTGTCCATTGGGGTTTTGTCCACTGGGGTTTTGTCCACTGGGGTTTTGTCCACAGGGGGTTTTGTCCGTTGGGGTTTTGTCATGGATTCATAAATGGGTACCTAAGTTTACAACTTGGGGAAGTGAAGACGGTCAGGTAGTGTCGGTCATACTGTCTCCTTGTGCACCGAAGGCTTAGTATACAGTGTGTTGCATCCACACTGTCCCGAACGGGCAGTCATGCCTATGGGACGCACTCTAAGTCGTAGTAGCTGTATCTGTGGTGGTGGTAGTTGTGGTAATACCGGTGGCGGTGGTGGTGGTTGATGAAGTAATGGAAGCAGTTATGTCTAGTTGTACTGTAGTGTTGGTGGTGATGTGGAAGCTATTGTAGTGCTGATAAAAGTTCTGGTAGTGATAATAATGGTGGTAGTTAGTTGTGGTAAATTGTGATTGCTATAATGATGGTGATGTTTATGGCAGTAATTGTGAAAAGTGTGAGTAAAAATATGTTCAAGCATCTATACCTAAAACACACACACACACACCAGCTTAATTCACCTGATGGCTAAACATCCTAATAGTAGCCTAACTTAACCTAACCTACCCTTCCCCAGGCAACGTCAGGGTGTCTACTCTCCAGGTAATCCATTAACTTTATTAGATTTATTTACTTATCGACTCTATTTAGTGTAACCAAAAAAGAAAAGGTTTCCTGGATATTGTGGAATAGCAGCTGGCGTCTCTGGCCCAGCCTCCCCATGAACACGATAACTATTGAAAAGGTGGTTGAATCGTTTTAACACTGAGCCAAGACATTACATTTCGGGGATCGCCTTCAGATTACCCCTTAGCTTATTTATTTCACCTTAAGATTTACCACCCTAACGCTAACCTAACCTAACGCTAACCTAACCTAACCTAACGTTAACCTAACCTAATCTAACCTAAACGCTATCCTAACCTAATCTAACCTCATCACATCTAAACTAACCTCATCTCACTTAACCTAATCTAAATTAACCTCACTTAGCTTAACCTAATCTAACCCCATCTCAGCTAAACTCACCTAACCTAACCTAAATTAAACTTCTCATATAAACTTGCCTAACTTAACCTAACCTAATCTAACCCCATCTCAATTAAACTCGCTTAACCAAACATACCCAAGTAGCGTTAGGGTGTTTGATCATCAGATGAAATAAGTCGGTGGCTGTTCTTCAGGTGATCTCATTGAGGTCTCTCTGAGGACTCCGCCATGTGTGGTGATAAGTCATGACCCATTATTATAAGTAGAGAATGGACGACGATGGGGAAAAACCCTGAGCTCGATGTTTGACTAAGATGTACAGTAGATGTCCAGTCAATCTTATTATTCCTTCATTTAATCAACTATTTTACTTAACTAATTATATATCTCTGAGCTGTGATACGTCAACACATCCTTCGCCCTTAACATAAAAAACTTAAGGAACACGCTGCCAGTTAATCACAAGTCCCATTTGATTAAAACGTCGTAGTAATTGGAATAAAACTGTTTTCCTTTCCATAAAGATGAAACATTGTCTTAAAGTCGTTAGAAAATTTCAGCCTGTTGTAAGGTGAGACATAAGCGTGGTGAGGGTCGTGGTCTGTGCACGTGAACGATTTCAAGCTTGTGGTCCAGGGAGGTGAAGGGCCGCTTATAGGACCCATCAGTACTTTAGGTTACCCTCACTGATCTACAGCTTCCTCCACCCACCCCTTCTCATCCCCTCCTCCCTCCTGGAACCTTAATGGCGCTATAGGTTTCATCACATGTCTACGGTCACATCCAACCTGTAAGTGGAGCAGCTGGGGACATAACCCCCTCACCCCACACACACTTATTTACGTACAATACCTGACCCGACTTTCGTAACTACGTTTTTAACAACTATGACGTCAACAAGTATATGGCACCCACGCTCGCCTCTCACATCCACCACACACCCTTCCAACACCTGCTCCTCCCACGCGACGAAGGAATGGAATGATGGTGAGAGGGAGGGAGGATCATCAAAGCCACAAACTCACTTTACAACACCACAAACTCCTCTCCCACCGCTCTTTACTTCACCACATTCCCCACACGTACATTCCACGCTTGCTCCTCTCCCACGTGAGGGAGGCAGAGATGGTGGAGGGAGGGAGGGGGAAATGGTGGGAAGGAGGGATAGATGGAGGGAGGGAGGAAGAAGGTCATCAGAGCCACACACTCAGAAATTCTCATCAATCAGCCGCTGGCCAGTCACGAGTGTTGGTCGCCCCGCACCCACCAGTTACCTCGTTGTCTCATGACCATTGTCAGTATAGTGTGGGAGTCTGCACGTACACGCACACCCAGGTTACAGTTTTACCCTATCACGTACACGTACAGTCACAGGAATGAGTCTCTGAACTTGCATACCCTGACTGTTGTCTGGTGCGGGTGTACTGTTTTATATTACTTGGGATCAAGTACAGTACAAGTACACCTATGCTACCGCTTCAAACTAGCACGTGTAGTGTTTTCTGTGTCGGCGTAGGTGGTAAATGTAATTTAGTGTGGTTGTGTGGAGTTACTGTATGTACAGTAATACGTAATCCGGATATACAGTACAATACGTGGAATTGTAGGTGTAAAACTTAGGTTGAGGTTTTAATATGTATGCATATGAGTTGGTGGTGGTGGTGTGACTGTGAATAAATGTGGTGGTGGTAAAATGTAACTATATGTAGCTAAAGAATGGCAATATCCAAGAGGCAATAAACATTAATTACGTTTGTTTGTCTGACACCGCTAATGGAGGAGGACCCCGAGGCTATATTCCCCACCCTTCTTGTTTTCTAGACGGTCCGTCTTTAAAACTAAAGAAAAAACTACAACATAAAGCAAAAACTCACCACCTTTACATAGTAAAGCACCTTTGAAGTCGACTTTCCAAAACGATTGTTAATTATCGTGTAAATAAAAGAGCAAAACTCCAACACACACACACACACACACGCCTTAAAAATATACCCAACACCAGCCATGAACATGGGCAAACACTGCAGGCATAAAACCATTTGGATGTGTACAAAATGAGAAA